TCGATCAGTACCGAGAAGTGAACTCACTTACATCCAAGCACACACACACACACACACACACACAAAATGCCGATTGTATGGTGATCCAGCGAAGAAAAAAGCGCACATCTTCAGTTGATAATCCCGTCGTTACTTTGAGTTAGAGTCGGGATTCCGTAATCCACCTACACCATCAATTTATTTCCATAGTGCTCGCACATCACAATTTGTATATGTCGGTAATTCGACGTCAATTGCGTACATTGGCACACAAAAGACGACGATATCCAGTCAACGATTCAATGCTCGACAAATGCAACTATCAAAAAGGAACACACAAAATTAATTCGTTTTCTTTCTGCTGTGCTCTTCTCTGTCTCACTCTCTGCTCCCTTTGTGAAAATAAATATGTACATAAGCCGGTCGATGAGAAACACAACGAAAATCTCTAACTCTCTCTCTCTCTGTGTCTCGTTCACTCTCGAATGAATTCGACGGGAATAATACAATACGCGATAACCGCCCAATAATTTAATCGTCTTCACAATTATTTTCTTCTATTTTCCTCGCTATTCATTATTATTACCATTAGATTGTTAGCGTTTGTCGAACGATGTTCGATGCAAGCTTGATATTTCGGATGCCTTCTATTCTTTCATTCATTCTTTCTATCTTTCTCTCTCTCTCTCTCTCTTGCTCTATTTCGCTCCATCGTGTTCGTTGTGTCGTTTGCTCGTCGCACTCGTCTTCGTTGTTAGCCAACATTTCATCATCTCGTATGCAGATAACAAATGCTTGGATTTTAAATTTAGAATATATTTAGCGTAAGCCAACGATTTTTCGCTTTGCTATTTTATTATAGCATCGCTTTTTCTCTCTATTCACCTCATTGCTTTCGATTGTGATTTGTATTATGTTTTCGTTTCGCGTTCTTCTTTTTCTTTCTTTCATTTTTTGTTGTTGTTGCTTTTGAATACATTTTTTTTTCCTTCTCATTGAAACTGCCGTTGTTGTGCTGAGGCTAAAATTGTTGTGATGCTGTTCATTTGGGTGTGAGTGTGTTGCAGAATATTCGCATGAGACTTTTGGGTCTCATCTCAATGTCTACACTTTCCGTTGTTTTGTTGTTGTTGTTGTTGTTTGTTCAGCTAAAAGAGAAATGTGAACTAGCAAGAGATGTGTGTGTGTGTGTGCTTTTTGTTCGCGTTGCTAGTTCTTTTTTCCCTTCTGCTTTATTTCGGTGCATATTGTATATTTTGATGCCATTCTTCTTCTTCGCTGTCGTTGTCGACGTTTTTGTTATTTTCTTTCTGTTTCTCGTTGCATTTGACAAAGTTGGGGTTAAAGTCGTGACGCATGCACCATTTCAATTTAATCATATTTTTTTACTGTTGCTGCTGCTAACTGCTGTTGCATTTTATTCGCATTTACATTTCATTCCATTGCGCGAGCGAGTTCACTCCGTTCGCCTTTTTTGCCTGCAATGCATTTTTACATTCTTCTTTTATTATTCTGTTGATCGAATTAGATGAGAGGTAGAGAAAACGAGAGAGAAATAGAGATTCGAAGACAACGAGAACGATGGAATATAACAGAAAAAAAACAGCAACAACAACACACTCTGGCACATCGTGCGTAACCACAATATTGTGAATAAATCTCAATAGCCAACTTCAAAGCCATATTCCGTACCATTGCGAGGGAGGTGAATGTGTGTATGTGTATATCCAAATATATACGTTCAGATTGCATTATTAGCCACAGGATACGCGCTCAACGATATGCAACCAATGAATATCACAACAACATCATCAGAGAAAAAGAAAAGACAACAACAACACAGACACAAAATTACAGAGATAAAACGATAGATTTGATATATGAAATCGTATGCAAAACGACGAACGTGCATCGTGTACACACAAAAAAAAAAGCCTAGCAAAGGGAGTCAGAGGGAAAAAGAGAAGTTAGAACCAAACTAAAGAGCTCAACATAAACAGTAAATACACAACAACGGTTTTGATCACAATTCGTCACGAATCACGCGCACAATATATGTGTGTGTGTATGGCGAAGCTCATTCTACCTATATCCAACATCTAATCGCTTTACACATTCAATCAATTTGATTCATGCGAATGCACATTTTCTTTTTCGATGAATCTCATTTCATGTGTCACTCAGACTAACGCGCTTTTTTTTTCACTCGACACATTTCGACGCTCTCAAGCTATTAATTAACTATCAAATGAAAATCAATTACCATGAAATTTAAAAATGTGACACACCGAACACTTTTATGTTCAGTACGAAAATTAGTTTATTTCCTCACCTAATTTAATCCATACGAAATATTCATACACATTGACCGATATGTGGCATTTTTTTTAAAATAGTAATTTCAATATTTTTTGTTCGTACAACCAACCGTATTTGTCGCTATGCATATTTTATTGGATACATGTTTTTCTTCGGCGTAAATTTTTACAAGCAAATGCATCCTTCCGGCAACACAAAAAAAAAACGCAAATATCTATTTTTAACAAAAGTGCATATTTCAATTGAATGCGCATTACACGATTATGTTACATTATGATGCATGTCTCAGTTACAATGTAAACGCCATTTTCACGTAAAGTGGACTGGACCCAGTTGATAAATTATTATTTAAATTCATTAAAGGATGGATAAATGTTTACTTAAAATGTTCAATATTGTCTCTGACAACATTTTTTGTATTTTTTCTTTAAAGTAAAAAGCGATTCTGGAATATAAATTTAAAATCATCCAGGTCCTCAGATGGCTTGTCCTCACATATATCGCTCTGAGTGTAAACAGACTCTGATAAAAATAAAAATATTGGTTTTTCATTCCGCTAATATGAAACATATACTGAAAATTCATGCGACAAAGTGTGCATTGTATGCATGACAGTAACTTCGTTCTCCCCTCTAATTTACAAGATAGTGAAAGGAAAAAAATTAAGAGATGGAAATTCTTCTCTATCATAAAAAATCGACGAAGAAACAACGCACATTTGGCTGCCCGAATTTTCCAACAATAAGTGACAAACATTGCTGAATCGATCACTGATAAACATAAATTCTTAAAACACACAACATTTCTGTTGAAAACTAGTAAAATTATGCAATTTTTTTTTATCTTTCAGTATTGAGTGCTTATAAGATTTTCTTTAAAAAATGCCACATTTACAAAACCAGTTGATTTCCATGTTCCTCACACTCAACCATATAAATAATATTCAATGAATGCTATTGTATATCGATCACGTCCGTTTGCTATGCTCTAACCCTCTGATCTTCCATCTTATTCCCATTCGACTACACACAACGTTCCTTTTTCTTTTAAATATAACGAACTCATTTAGCATCGTTAACAGAGGTAGACGCACGCATTTTAATATTATTACAATTTATCTGATTCAAAACATTTCGAATCGTCTGGTATTTAAACGAGCATTTGTCGCGAGAGAAAAAAAACGCCAACATAGTAAGCATGTGTAAACGCAACTGAATAAATTCAATTTAAAACCGAAAAAAAGAGTCGAAAGATCGAAAAGGTGCCATATTAAGATTTCTGTGAATTGTCTGTGTTAAGATGCGACACGTAGATGGTCGTTTTGTTTGTGCATTTTTCCTATGTCATGCTTGCGACCATTTTTTTTTCTCTCTTAAAATCTTATCTTAATATTCAACAGTAGTAGCATAACCACAGCTTCATTCTGTAAGCAAAAGACCGTTTTTTCTGTTTTGAATTTGCATTCGCCAAGTGCGTATAATGTAAGATTCTTTTTTTCGGGCCGAATGTAATTTCGTCAAGTTCAGTTAAATTCATGCACGTATCGATTTCAATCAAGTCGTTAAACAACGACACACGTTGAAATCAATTGACAACCATAGCCGTGCCGAAGAATTGCATCGCAGTGACAGTTCGGCCGGATCGATTGATATACAAAACTCCATCAAATGATGTGGATGTGTATGAAAGCGTGGTGTAGAAATCATTTAATCGTAATTTATAATGGAATAGACTTTGAGGCACCTTTAACCTTCTATGCGATCGGCACATTGTTTTACCGTTAAACCGATGAATAGCTAGAAAACGCAAATAAATTATTTTCAGTAAAAGAAGAAGTCACCGATCTTGCGAATGTGATTATTCATCGCAGCAATTTTCAAATTCCCACGAAATTGCCTCAATTTACTCGCCATTATTATTACTCTTATTTTTTTTTATTCAAGTTATTTTAGATGCTTTGTGTGTCTGTGTGCCAGGGATTAATAGGCCAACATTCAATATAGCAACGGTCGTTTATCTATTACAACAACGCCGTAAAATGAGAAGAGAAAAATCCTGATTACTTCCAATTTAACACAAAACTCTTTTCTCTCGGTTGTGCCTTCTCTCTTTCACTCTCTGTCGCTCTATTAATTTCTGTGTATACAGAATACGACATATTCAATTGCCACAATGCAACAGAAAACTGAGCAAATTCATGCAATAACCAAATGAAGCGTTTCGTGTACGCGATTAATCCAAATGTGAGATGCATTTTACATTTTGGCATGCGCTTACTCGTCCGCTCAATGGAATTGAGCTGCAGTCGTGATACAGAAGAAAAAAAAAATTTGCGAGATATTTTTTTGATATGCAAATCATTTCCGATGAACTTAAGTCACATTCTTCCCTTCTTTCTTCTGCTTCTTCCACTATACTTATGCGTACGTACACATGCTTATGTGCTTAATCGTCAATGTTACCTACTCTCTTTCTCAAACTCATTACGTTTCATTTTGTGAAAACTGTATGAACTTCGTCGTCGTATCATTCATCATCACATACGAGTCATACATACGATCGAATACCTCATTGGTAATTGGCCAATGCCAACGCTAAAAAAAATATCTGCAAAAAAAGTGAAGTGAGCTGAATGATGGGTCAATTGAATGACAAATCCAATTGTTTGAGTATCATACAATTTTATTTAAATAATACCATGCATTTCTACTGTTTACAAAAACCCTACTTTTATCACAATTTAATGATGACTTTTCTTAAGTAATGCCAGCATTTTTATAGGTAAATGATTTGTATTCCACAATATCATATTATTCTCTGCGTATTGAATACAATATATAAAACTTAAACGGCTTAAACAAATAGCCAAATTTTTTTTTTTTTTAAATACAACTATCATCGACAAAATACAGAAAATTATTCTATTTACAATGTTTGACAGTTTCGTTGAAAAGAAAAACTGAATACATTACTTATATCAATAATCTCTGTGTATCGTCGAGCGTGGTATCCGAAAAATTAGTAAAACCGCTGATTTCCTGTTCTTCGACGACAGTCGATTGTTTGGCCGTGGTCGTTTGATTGTTGTTTTTATTGCCCCTTCGATGAATCATGATTTCATTGAGTTTGGACATTTTCACACGCGCTGCATCAATAGCCGATCGCGAATTCTCGAAATGCATGCTTATGTTTATGTTCTGTTTCCCATATAAACGCTTGTAAATGAACAATGCTCCCATCACAACCAGCAACAGTACCATGATAATGGAAAGAGTGCCTAGCACCATTTTCGTTATACGGCCACCGTTCGACCTGTCTCCAGTGGTGTGTTGATGGAAAATCGGTTGGTTTTGTTGTGCTCCCTATGCACAAATTGAAGAATATTTGATTACCAAAAATGTGATTTGTTTTGTTAACACACGCACAATGAAAATGTATGCACTTACCACTCTATTGCATTCGCTGCTTTCCGCAATCGTTTGGCCATAGTCACAGATGCATTTCCGGCCCAAATCGGTTGGTACACAAATCGTATTGCATTTATGGTTTGTACACGAATTTTCGGTGGATTTTTGTCGCGATTTTTGTACGATTACTAGATTATCCGCTTGATTGACGTTCAACCCAAGCGGTTTACATACTCTATCACCATATAGTGCACATTTGGCAAGGATTTTTGAATCAGCATTCGATACATAGGCATGACTTTCAAACAGATTGATTCCGATGGGTCGTGTTATGAACTCGTTTCGTGTAATCATCAGTTGTTTGCCCGTACCATCGTATTTCACGGACCAAATTGACCGTGTATCAAAGCTGACATAGTATACACGTTCGGTGTAAAAATCGGATGTAAGTGCTGACACAAAAAATGAATCCTCGCTTAATACTTGTATTCGGTTGCCGTCCAATTTGTGAGCGATGACTGTACTCTTCAGTGTATCGAATTCGGGTTTTTTCACGGTTACATAGAATAGACTCTGATGAAGTGCATCAATATCGAGAGATTTGATGTGTCCGCCGGATTTCATCTCAATCAATGTGATACAATTGCGTTCTTCCATGTGACACACTTTGATTGCCACAGACTTATCGATGAAATACACATTATCTGTGATCCAATCGACGGCCACTTTAGTTGGTATACCAATATTTTTCACTGAATTCATTCGCGAATCAGTCCAATTGAATTCGTACAGTGCCTCACTGTCTTCAATCGTAAAATAGAGCAACTGTTTATCGAAATTCATGCCCATTCCAATTATTTTTGAATCATTTGTTGATATCGCGGTCGTTAGATGCGTACCCATCCGGTAAATGGTGTCATACGACGAATAGAACATGAATGATTTGCTTTCGATCGACTTGCATGAAATTTTGTCGGCGCTCAGTTGAAAACCACGGAAACACGAACAACGATAACTGCCAATTGTATTTTCACACTTTTGTGCGCACGGCAATGTACTGTTTGCACACTCATTTATGTCGATGCATGATTTTTTGTCCGAATCTAATGCAAATCCATCGCGACACGCACAAACCGGACCATTTGGTGATTTATTACATAGGTGTTGGCATGGCGAATTTCGGCACGATGACTCACAATTGAGGCCTTCGTCCGATCCGTCCGAACAATCTTTATCGCCATTGCACACACGATCCCAATCGACACACAAAGGATACTCTCCGTTTTTGCACTTGAATTCAGATTCAGTGCATCTCGCATGGTAGTGATGACTATGATAGAGATGACTGGTTGAATTGCAATTCTTTTCGTCACTTGCATCTTTACAATCTTTCACGCCATCACACCGCCAGCTCTGAAGTACACACTGGCCGCTATCGGCACATTTGAATTCGTCTACGGTGCAATCTTTGCAGTCCATTTCATCTTCGCCTAATTTTATTTGAAAGAAGGATGCCATTAGTCCTACTGAAGAAGATCGTTTGAAGAGATCAATAAAAATATACCTTTTGGACAGTCAGTGTAGCCATTGCATCGTTTCTCCATGTCCAAGCAAATTGTTTTGTTACTTTTGCACTGGAACAGCTTGCTATCGCCATCACCACACTCAACTTCAACCCGTTCCGAATGAAACCATTCTGCACAATTGATTTCATCAGAGAAATCTCCGCAGTCATTGTCGCCATTACACCAAAGCGCTTTGGAAATGCAGGTTCCGTGCTCACATCGCATCATATTTTCGGCGCACTCCTCGGAAACTGTGGATGAATTGTTATTTTTTTTCTTTGAAATCAATCGACCAAGGATAAAAGCTACAATCAAAGTTAAATCATGAAAACTTACCGCAATTTTCTTCATCATTTGAGCAATCGAGACTACCATCACACAGCCAGGCGTTTGGAATGCACTGGTTATTGGAGCACTTGAATTCGTTCGCATTGCATGTTCGACTTTCCGAATTTCGGCAATTGGATGCAAGCTCATCTTCGCCAGATGAACAGTCCTGTGTGCAAAGAGATTCTTAATGAGAATACCTCGATTCGAATGAAAATCAAATGTCAAATACCTTGAAACCATCGCATAAAGCATTCGAATCGATGCAATGTCCGTTGGAACATAGAAATTGATTCTTGTGACATTTGGTTTCTTTGATGTAATCCTTACAGTCCTTTTCATCGGAACCGTCATCACAGTCGATATTTTTATCGCATCTAAAAGTGAACAAAAGCACACACTTATTTCATGATATGTTTTGAAACAAAAAAAACTGTCCAAAATATACCTATTTTCGCGGTCAATGCACTTCATTCTGTCGAGACATGTGAATTGATTCGGTTCGCAAGTGACAAACTTCTGCCGTTCTTGACAATCTTCTTCGTCGCTAAAGTCCAAGCAATTTTTAACGCCATTACATCGCTGCTCTTCTGTGACACATTCACCAGATCCGCAACGGAAAAAGCACTCAGTGTGTGGAACGCACGTAGAATTGTGTGCATTTTTGAATACTGTGCCCGCTGGACATAAACAGGAATATACTGTTTTACCCATTGCAATGCAAATGTGCGAACAAACGCCTTCATTACATGGATGTTTTGAATGAGTAGTAACTGGTGAAATTGTCAACAATTCTATATCGGCCGCCGTGGATGTTGTAAACGGATGCTCAATATGCATGCTCTTCGTACCCACATAGCTATGCTTTGGCGTCCAATTTAATTTGATTGATTTACTCGTTGACCAGAATATATCATCTCCGATAATAGCCAACGACACTGGATGATTGACATCGTACAAAAATGTATGATGCGTTTCACCTGAAATGGCAAAATGTTTAGTATTTCGGTACTGCCGAAAATCCATTAAATGCCAATGCAATTCACACTCACCATGAAAATCAGTGTATGAGATTTTCGATTGAGCATAGTCGGTCCAAAAGATTTCTTTTAGTTCGTAATCAACTACCATTGAAATGGGCCCATTTCCCAATTCTTCTTCAAGCATATGAAAGTGCGGACCTCTACCATTTGGCGATAGTTGATCAATGTGTGTATGAGCGAATGATCGGAGTGCTACGTATAATTTTCCGATTTCTGTAATCGCAGCCAGTGCAATTGGAGTCTCGGATCCCATGAAATGTTGCACCACAGCACGTTGTCGAGTATTAAATGAATATACTTCAATTGTACTGCGTTCGGCGTCCGTCCAATATAAATTGTTGGCCAGTTCATCTGTGAAATGAAGGAAAAATAAAACTCTGACATTTTACTTTTTGAAGTTGCGATGCTTACCGAATGACAATGCGGTTACGTTATTAATGCTTTCACTCATCAGCACTTTTGTAGCATAGTTTTCCAGGCTCACTTGTATGATAACTTTGCGTTTGTTATCAGCTACAATGACATCGCCGGTGATCGAATTGAATGTCATTTTATCAACTTGATATGGTAATGTTTTTCCCTCGCCGTCTTCATGTTTGCCAAATGATTGATGCTCGAATATAACTAAACGATTTCCAATGGCCATTAAAATGGCCTTTTGCTTGTCAGTCGTTCGACATTTGTGTTTATCGGCTGTTAATTCCATAAATTTTGGACAATCACATGTATACGAATCATTTTCATTGAGCAAACATAAATGACTACATCCACTTTCAATGCACGGATTTTTGCTGAAATTTTGCATCGCTGGATGATAAATATGAATATCATAGATTAGATTATCTCGAATGATTGTTGTTCGGTTTTTGCCCGTGAATTTGTTACACGATTGAATGCTTTTCGAATCCCAATCAGACCAGTATAACGAATCTTGGAAAACAGCAATACCATACGGGTGCTTTGACACTTGTTTGATTACTTGTCTTCGATCACTTCCATCGAGTCGACAATTTTCAATCGATCGAGATTTTGCATCCACCCAATAGAGTCGGTTATTCGGCCAATCGAGCGCCAGGCCATTTGGCCACGTAATATCTTCAGTTATCAATGGCTGCATGTTACTTCCATCCATTGATGCGACGGCAATCATTGGAGTTAGACCCCAATCGCTCCAATACATTTTACCTTTTTGTGGATGCAAGGCAATTCCACGCGGCCGATGTACATTCTGTGTAACGATGGCTTTGCAGTAACGAGCATCATTCGAACATACCGCAACGTGTTGATAGTCGTTGTCGGTGAAGTAAATATTACCAGTGACAAAATCGACAGCAACATCTTCGGGTTTACTCAAACCGGCTGTGAACAGAGTCTGTGAAATTCGAATGAAAATGACTATGAGCTCAGACGATTATCAAACGCTTTTGAGCCTATATGAATCGGTTTCCGTCAAATCATACCTGTAAATCACTGCCATCCTTCTTTGCCTTCATTATGCTCTCTACTTGTACAGAAATGTCCGTCCAATAAACATATTTTCCATCATAGCAGACGCCAATGACTTGATTCAATTTTTCGGCGACTCTTTTCAAATGTTTTGTTGCACCACGTAATTGGATCCAATTAACCGACTTACTAGCGGCATAGAGCAGGATTGGGTCTGTAACTCTAAATACTGAACATGTTCGATTGTCTCTCTCCAATCTGAAACCCGGTGCACATGCACATTTAAACGATCCAAATGTATTGACACAACCTTGCGAACATTTACCAAATTCCAAGCATTCGTTAACGTCCTAAAATACCGATTGTTTGATTGAAACGTTTTAATATACTACGATCGACATAATTGCCAAATTTACCTCGCATTGTTCTTTATCCTCGTTGAATTGATATCCATTGGGGCAAATACACTGCGGTCCATTTGGAAAATTATGACAGCGTCCGTTTGGCGCACACGATTTTGTGCAATTCCGAGCCGATTTGAGTTTTACACATTCATCGCTCTCATCGTTACCATTACTGCAATCTATTGGAATAAAACGGAACCACATGAAATGTGCGATAGCGCAAGCGTCGACAACAGCTTTCGAAGCGTAGCTTTATTCAATAGATATGTGTTACCTTTTTTGCCATCGCATACTTTGTCTAGCGAAATACAGGTATCGTTTTGGCCACATAAAAATCGGTTGTTTTGCGGTGTACAATCGTATGCTAAAAATAATGAATGATTTAAAATTGTTCGTTGATGTGACAATCGTATTGTTGGTCGGAAAAAATGTATTTTCTTGAATTGTATGGTCATTCAAATTGGAATAGAATTGAAAAAGTGATACTCACTGCAATTTGCTTCATCGCTGTTGTCACCACAATCATTTACCCTGTAAATGAATACAAACGAATTGTCGTTTGGGTTAAAATGGCAAAATATTCCAATTATTTTAAGTATTTTTTCGCTTTGTTTTGAAAAAGGCAAGAAAATAGTGCCAAAGATTACCTATCACAAACCCAGTCTCGGTCTGTCAGGCAATGTCCATTTTTACATAAAAATCCGGTACACTTCTGTGACAATGTTGCACAGCCAGAACTCTCATCGCTTCCATCGAAACATTGTTTTATACCATCGCAAACCAATTCGAGCGGCAAACAGATACCGTCACCGCATTTGAATTCATCCTTTGTACATTCAGTTACTTCGTGATGTGACACATAGTGGTCACAATTCTGCTCATCATCGTCGTATGGACAGTCATAATGTCCATCGCAGCGTTTAAAATGATCTATGCAGGTTGTGTTGTCTTTACATAAATACCAGTCCGGTTCCTTACAATCTGTAACAAAATTAGTAGTGCATTTTTTGAATCGGATCCAAAAATTAATGGAAATATCATTTGTCATTCAATTAGACGTTTGTGCATGAATTCGTTATGAATGTCTTTGATTCCATGGAAATTGCTCTATGTATTAGTATGTTGGCTCAGAAGCGACAAAAGAGATGATGAAAAAATATATGTATAACACGACTTTTCATAACCTCAATTTTGATGAAAAAAAATTTCAACGGGAATTTCTCACTCATGTACAATTCGAGAGACCAATAAATGGTTTTCAATGTTCACTTACCGCAGTTTTCTTCATCGGAACCGTCATCGCAGTCCTTAGTTTTGTCGCAAATTTTAGATTTATCGATGCATTTCTGGCCGGTCCGACACATGAAATCTGAATCATTAGTACATGACTCCGAAGAACATCCGTTAAGCCAAGCGAAAACCACTAGCGAGCAGAAAAGTATCTGATGCCAATCCATTTTTATTCGCCACTTGAAATGATATGGAAAAGACAAAGCACAAAAACTCAATAAAAAAAGTATGAAATTGGATTTGTCATCGTTGCTTAACACGTGTCAAGTTGCAACGAGCCGAGTTAACCGTATTTTCACACTGCGACTTACCTAATTTATGCTGAATTTTGTTGATTCTCTTTGGCCGGTTCACGTACGAGATAATTCGATTCTAACATGCAAATAGACCGAATATTTACAATAAAAAAAAATCTAAATATACAAATGAAATACGCAAAATATACAAAACGCACTGGAAACTGAACGTGTGAACTATGAGATGTCGATACACAAAGTGAACAAACTCAATACGTAGTTCAGTGCACGAAGCGATTAAATTGTGCGTGGTCAAGCATTGATTCAGTGCATCTCGCTTTGTCATATTTGCACTTGGAGGAAAAAAATACATCCGCCGTTTCATTAGACGTGCAAAAGATGCTAACTGACTCGCACTATTGCAATGCGTGGTAGCATGTCGGTTGACAGTTTATCGACAGTCCGTCTTATTGATCTCTTTCTCCCTCCCTTCAGTGCTCATACGAATGTGAATAAGAACATAGATAATGAAATCGCTTATGCTAATTTTGATTTCTTTTGTATTGGTCCGCAGTTTGTGTTTACGAAACGCATTCTGTGAAGCGTTCAAGTGTAGACAACAGAAGAAAACAAAAACGAAAAAAGGAACAAGACGTTTTTGACATTGAAAATGATTTGAAATGAAATTGGTTTTCTGCAACAGTAAAAAGGATATTTCGGCAATTTTCTCATTTCATTTTATTCGTCACAAAGCACATTTAAATGCTTTTAATACCTTTTTTGTTTGAGTTTTCTCAACTTAAAACAGAAAATGTTGCTTTGAAATTGAGCGTGAATTTCTCTCCGATCATTGCAAGGGTGCTTACATTTTTGTTCAAGAAATATAAGACAGCACACACACCTTCGTTATTTACAAGTTTAGCAAATGTATCAAACAAATCAAACAATTTGGGGCTCATATAAATTCAATACAGATATATTTTTTTGCATATAAATGCTATCGTTCATTTATTTTTCCACCGATTATTATAAATATGTTTTCACTCATAATTATAATACCTTTCGTTGCATACGACCGTTCCCATTACATCGTCGTAATTTTTTTTCTTATTTTTCACCGCATGAACATCACAGAATATCTATAAGAATAAAATTAAGACATTTTTTACATACGACTAAAGTACTGAGGTTTGATCGAATCGATCGTTCAATGTGAATACAGAAATGTAAAATTTCACGGAAGTTTTGACAAAAAAAGGGAAACATTTTTTTGCGAATGCACGTCTCGCTGAAAATGAAATCTTTTCGTTCGAAAAGAAATATTTCTTTACACCTGATAAAAAAATGACAATTACAATCGATGAAATTAGCACCAAAATTATCGTAATAATATTCATTTTTATTGTATACTTTAATTTTGAATCGTTCGATTTACAACTGATAATCGATTCAATGAGGAATCGACTTATATTCTGATCAAGATACATGACAATATGGTAATTACACACTTATTGACACACAAATAATCTCCTTAATCGCATACTATTATTTGTCTACTACTTTTTTTAGAAACTTTCCTATTGAACAACTTGAATACAAAACAAAGGTTGTACGAAGACTCTGGTGACCGCTCGGATTTTTTTCAATTGAAATGCCTTGGAAGTTTCTGTCAGTAGGTTCTTGAAACATTCATTTGGAATATCGGCAGGATCTTCACCCTTAAAAATATAAACACGCAATACAGCGCCTTGAAGAGACACATCTTCATATCTTTGAAAAAGGTTTCAAAGATAGATGAAAACTTCTGTTTTAATCAATACTTTGACTTACGCTGTATAAAATCGACCCCAAGACCTAACAAACAAATATATTTCTATTGTAATTCAGTAAGAATATTGAGAATGTGATCAATTTAAACGTACGGTTTATCACTTTTAAGTGTTCCCATTATATCGTCAAAGTTTTTCTTCTCTTTGTTTGCATAGAGGCAATCTAACATAAAATAAAGTAAAACTTATTACTTGTTTAACTCAATTAAGACGGAATGAATAAAAAAGTCAAATAAATTGCCACATTCGGACCAAAACGATCTTGATACTTTTCATTTTGACTGTTTTCGCTCAGAATAGATACGGAGAAGGTACCAATAGTTTGGCACATCGATCATTCGCCTTATATATAGTGATCGACAACCACGCATGTAAGATGTGATGGAGACTGTTGAACTATGTTTATGTTCGTCATTAAAATTCTTTAGTCCTGCAGTCTGTGTTTATTTTAATATTATTATTCGAATTTTCCAATAGACCGTTTTCAAGAAGGAAAAGCAAATAAACAAAATTCCAAAATTCAAATTTGCGTATTATGACATGTGATAATTGAAATTAATTAAACTCACGTAATAAAAGTTGAAGTTGCGTCATATAAAAAACGACGCATGTAAAATGTAAGGATACATACCTTTGCAAGTTTATACAATACTATGTAATAAATTCATATTTACTCATCGAAGCAAATTTTGTTTGGCGAGATATCGTAAATTCGTTAAAAAAATCGTAAAATTGACCTGAAATCGTCAAATATATACATAAATCTCCAGGGCTGTTTACAAATTGAACACTTCTTTCGATCAGCACTGACCTTATTAGCTTGATAAGATCTAAACTTAATTAATAAAGATCCCAGCAAAATCAATGATCATTTTAACAAGGACGATTTTGAATTTTTACTAGGCGTGCTTAAAGAGTATATATAGAGTTAGGAAAAAATATTGTCAATACAACGTTTGAATTACAAACACAATTTCATCATCTTTGGACAATTTAACTCAAATGAAAGAAGAAGAATTTGGGATCTGGAAATTTATATTTTAAGACACTGTTTTGTATATAACTAAACTATCTAGAGATATATTTCCACAGCTATATTTTACAAGATTCAGATAATTCTCAGTAAATTGTCAAAAAAAGTTTCAAATGTATTTTTTACGTTTCATTCATTATATTTAAAAAAATCTTTTTTTTATCAATATAAGTACAGTTTATTCTAACGATGCACTGCTCTCAAGTGAAGTCATTCGAGACATCGTTCCAAATATAGCGTCGAAACGTTCTAGTTATTTTTATAATATTTTATTAGGTAATTCTATACTATAAATTTGTCTAACTAAAGTGGAACCAAATTACCTGGCACGTCAGCGGGCTCATTTCCTTCAAGTAAATATGTACGGAGTAGTGCCTCTTTACGGGATACACGTTTGAATCTTTAAAATAATTTAAAAAATAGATAATTTCAAACCCATTGATCTAAATAATAATAATGCCCTACGTTCTCTCAATTGCCTGAATATCATCTTCCCTGTTAAAATGAATTATTCGAACGTTATTTTAATGTCACACAGACTAATTCGTTATAATTTTCAAACTCACAGATCACTTCTTCGAATTGAAAGGCCCAAGAAAAATTTAAGTGGATCAGTTGTGAATTTTTCCTTTAATACATATTTCGCTCGTTGATTATCTTCTCCAGTTAATCTGTTATTTATGAATTGATTTATTACAATTATGATTTTTTTTTTGTCATTTGAGTTTATAAAAAAAAAAAATCTTACGTTTTTTCAAACTCCGTAAAAAGTCTAGTCGTAACTTCGTCTAATGTTTTGAAAGCAATTTCTTCGTCAGTTTCACTTTTCGATTTTTTTGCCTTCCTAAATTGTAGTATTGATATTAGAATTTTATCAAAGATAACTTTCGGGAAAATTTATAAAACAAAATGGATATATTTGCTAACTTTGAATTGAATTCTTTGGTGCACAAGTTTTTGAATTCGTTGCAAGCCGACTTAAGATATGATAGCGATAGTGTATAGTATTTAGTCTTTTGACACTCATGTGTAGTTTCATCGTTTGTAATACAATACCGTATTAGTCTAATAAATATTTTAATAAAAAAATAATTTGAAAATAAAATTGAATTGAAAATTCGTTTTTTTTTTGTTTGAACTTACGATGCGTAAAATTTGCTAAAACTGGAAGAAATGAATAGCATTTTATTGTAATGAAATAAGAAATTCGAAAAATAAATGTCAAAACGCACCCTTTATTGCATTTAACTTCGCCGATGGCATCGTCATAATTCTTCTTATCTCCCCCCGCTTGAACATTAGAAGCAATCTGAAGTATTGTATAAATAATATCAATTAGATTAGACTCCACAATTGTATAAAATCAATAAAAAAAAACAATTTAAAATTACAATTGCTAAAGCCACAACAAAAATAATCGCAAAACGGTTCATTTTCACTCTTTTCGCTCGGAATAGGTACAGAAATGTTACTGATAATTTCGTGTATCGAACATTCGTCTTAAATACCGAAAAGATGACACGTGCATAAGTCGTGAAGTCGTGGATATAATTGTGTTGTAGACGTCATTGACATTTTTGAGTTTTTCAGTAAGATTTTAATTGGAAATTTGTGTTTGGAATTTTGTTTTTTCATATTCACATGTGTTCAGTCAACCCGCAGACAAATACAAAAAAGAAACAATTATTTATCATGATAAATGCGTCACTTGAGTTTTATCGAAGAAATTTGCGTGAAAATGTTGCGTAAAAATGGCATAGTTCTACTTATACGCGCTTATAAAGCTATAACCAACTGATTCAATATTGCCATAATAAATATTATTTTCATTCCCAATTCAAGTAGATCGATAAGATCAAATAGATCGATGTTAGGATGTAGTAAAAATAAAACAAACAAACTAATTTTGACACATTTATTCAGTCATAATAAATCGATTTACATTATTTGCTGTTAAAATATTCAAACAAATTATGTAGAATACTTGAATATTTACTATTAAATTATTAAGATATTCTAATGCTTTGGCCAGAATTAAAGTTTTTCGTGTTCATTTCTTATACATCCATTTTAAAAAAAGAAATCGAGTCGTTCTCAAAAATTTTATCAATTCATTTAACTAACTTTTTTTCAGATTTTCTTTTTTGTAAATGGACAGGATCTTTTTTATGACAAGAGTTCGTCGGGATTATTATTAAGTATATTTAAAAAATCATTTATTTGCATATTTTAGATAATCATTTCAATTTATTGAATCACACATATCAGTTGAATCTTATTATACCGAAGATGCAAGCTAAAAGAGGTCCAACTATTGTTGCAGCACAAGTCCAACTATTTGAATTTTGACCATACAATGGAAATAGATAGATAGATATCTACAGATATTAATATATAGATTTGCAAAAAGCGCTCATTTAACGCTTCCCTGCGCTCGGACGCTGTGTATATGAACGTAACAATAATGTCATTGTTTGAAATGATTTAAAATGTTTATATTTTTTGCTTTTTACTTTCACACAATGACACCATTGTATTCAGCATACACAGCGTCCGAGCGAAGGGAAGCGTTAAATGAGCGCTTTTTGCAAATCCATATATTAATATCTGTAGATATCTATATATCTATTTCTATTGTATGATTTTGACATAATGAATCGTCACATCTCCACATATGTAAAGAAATTTGGCCGATGACAGTGGAAGTCGGGGTCGAAATTCACAGAAGCTACAGTTATCGATGCAAACCTATTTTTTAAAATTATAAAATGAATGCAATTTTTTGATATATGCCAATTTTAATATTAATGACCTTGATCATATCATTTTCAACGAAAATAAGTATTTTAAACTGGCCACCATACTCAATTGGACAACCCCCCTCGTTCTCTTCTTCTTGCCATTTTTTGTTTTCCTTATGGTTTCGGACAATTTCATAAAGGGAAGGTCGAACACTCAAGTGAAAAGCTATATCACCGTCTGGTTCATAATATCCATTTTTAAGGTCAACACGGAATCTAACATAAAAATCAATTCTGCACTGAGTGTATTTTTCACATATATTTTAAGTTATGCCGTCAAACCTGCCACTTTGAAGCATTTGACCAGATAATTCAATCATGCTGTTATGGCGAAGACATTCTGGAATCGAGTACAACAACGGCACTTCCTAGAAGTATTGGAATAAAAAATGGAGTATTTTTATTTTGGTATCGATAAAATTAATTTAGGAAAACATTTCATTACCACTCGTATAAAAAAATTACACCAAAAAGTAAAATTTTCCATTTTTCAATAGAATTTTTTTTAAATTTCTCATTTTCAATATATGTATACTGCTATTTGCTCCATGTACTTACTGGATTTTTTGCGCATATTGATCTCATCATTTTAATTTAAAGACAAATAAGAAACGAAAATAAACTTTCTAAGAATTCGAATGCTATGGTTCGAACTTCAAACGAAACGGCACGCTGAAAAATGACTAATCTCAAGCATACATTTTACTTTGTCAGAACAGAGAGAAATTAGTAAATAATCACCGAATATTTCTTTTTAGAGATAATACCGAATAATCGCAAATGTTTCATTCGATTCTACTGCTTCAAGATTAAAAATTATTTTCGATTTGTTTGTGTATAACCCATGTGTGTATGGCATGAACTTAAACACTTTTATAGATTATTAGCACCCATTCGCAGATAATCTATTTTTCTTTTAGAAATGTATTTTCTGCTTCAGATTGTTTCAAAATACAAAGACAACATTTAAAAGTCAATTATTTGATAATCATTTCAATTTATTTAACTGATAAATCATCTGTATTGAAAATTCATGATCTATAAAATATTTGAATCTATCAAAGTGTCATATTAAAAAATGACATACAATTTGGTATGTGATTGATAACCTAATACGACATTTATTTATTGAAGTATGTTCGTCTTTTTTTCCTCACAACATCGTGAAATCGGTTTAATTTGATTTGATGACATATTACAAATATGCTCGACGTGCTATTGATGGAAATAAGTAAAATGTAAATGATTTGTTCGTTGAAAATTTGCCATTAATCTAAATCTTTTTACCTGAAAGCTATTTGAAATGACGGTCATTGTCAATTTGGATGTAATGAATTTTCACTTCGCCACTGATGTAAAGAAATTTCGCAAATGGCAATGGAAGGCGATGTTTGAACTTACAAAATGGTACATTATTTATGGCAACCTTTTTCAAAGAGCAAAATAATTGAAATTCATCTTATTATTTCAAATCGATAAATGACTGACCTTGAACTTTTCCTCTTCAACTACAATTACCATTCTAAATGGTACACCATATTTAATTGGACATCCACCATCACGTTCTTCATCTTGCCATTTTCCATCTATCTTATGATTTCGAACGATTTCATTGTCGCAAGGACGTACACTTAAGTGAAAGTTTACAAAAGAATCATCACGAAAGTCTACACAGAATCTAACATAGAAATTATTATTTAAATGTGTGTATTTTTCACATATATTTTTAGTTATGAAATCAAACCTGTCACTTTGAAGCATTTGACCAGATATTTCAATCACACTTTTATGGCGAAGACTTTCTGGAAGCCGATGCATCAACGGCACTTTCTAGAAGGATTCAAATATAAATTGAGTCACTGCCATGTGCTTCACGTACTTACCGGACTTTTAACGCTTGTTGATTTCATCATTTCAATTTAAATACAATTAAAAAACAGAAGATAAACTTGAAGACTTCGCATGCTCTAGTTCGAACTTTGAACAAAACGACAAACTGAAGAATAACAAATCTCAAGCATACATTTTATTGTGTCCAAACAGAGAGAAATTAAAATATAATCACCGGATACTTCATTTTAGAGATAATACTGAATTATCGCAAATGTTCTATTCATTCCTACTGTTTCAAGCCTAATATTGTGTGATTTGTTTGAAGTATAACCCATGAACTTAAAAAGTTTTTTTTTTTAGATTATAATAGCCTCTCGCAGATAATATATTTTTCCTTCAAAAATGTATTTTTGCCTAATCATATCAGATTCAAATCTAAAGAAAACATAGTTTTTATACTATATCAACTCATGGCCTGGAAATGTTTATGTAATTTACATATAAACGAGTGAGACTCAAACATGTTCTTCTTTTTCCATCAAATATACCAGTGGCGCCACCAATTTTAGATATAAGCGCATACAAAATATTCACTAAATGACTGACCTTGAACTTGTCCTCTTCAACCACTATAACTATTTTAAACGGTGCACCATATTTAATTGGACATCCACCTTTGCATTCTTCTTTTTGCCATTCTCCGTCCATCTTATGATTTCGTACGATTTTATTGTCGCAAGGACGTACACTTAAGTGAAAGTTTACAAAAGAACCATCACGAAAGTCCACACAGAATCTAACATAGTAATTATTATTGAAATGTATGTATTTTTCATATTTTAAAATATAAAATCAAACCTATCTCTGTGAAGCATTTGACCAGTAATTTCAATCGTGGTTCCATTACAAAGATCCTCTGGAATCAAACGCAATAATGGAAGAGCTTAGCGGAATTAAAAAGCAATACATTTATTGCACTTTTAATTAGATGATTAGGTATTTTAGGTAAGTTTCAAAAAATATGTAATTACTGGATTGATGGTAAGATGTAGTGAAGCCATTTGTTGAGTTCTTTATATATTTCAAAGAAAAAATTTAGTTTCAAAAATAGCGGAACAAAACCGCAAACAATTGTAAATTTTAAAATGTGAAATGACTGATTTCATGTTCGATTAACGCCTTTTTATACCAAATCTGAACATTAATATATGAACAAATAATTAAAGATTCTTTTATTTGTTTCATCAAGTTTCTGAAAAAATTTAAATATTCATAAAGCCTCAAGTATTGACCCCCGCCATTGAACAAATTTAGTGGTTTCTTTTTGAATTATTTTGAGTTTGGAGGCAATAAAAATCGAAGAATATTGAATCTGAACAGAAGTGAAAAGAAAATCAATGGAAATGAATCAATTAATGGTTGATAATGGTTTGAACAAAATATCGAAAAAAATAATTGTTCATTTCGAAAAACACATTAATTATTCGTCAGGGAAAAATAGTTGAATGTGAAGTAGTAAAATGCATAAGCACAAAATCATGAATCCATAAATGTTGTACGAATTATTCTTTAAATGTAGTTTTATTTTCTGGATTTTGTGAATCATTTTGTGCTCTTATAATTTATTGACAAAATTTCTCGCTGACATGGATTTACATCGGTTTTGTGTGCTTACATATTCATGATCACGATTTTTCCTGAATGAGATAAAAGAACATAGAGCAAATGAATGAAAAAATCAAACAACACAATATATAACGTCGAATTGATTTTGCACCGTCGTTCTAAATATTGAGCCAATTTATATGTACGCAAACCTACAAGACAATTGTCGTGGTAAGCATGCCGATCATTTTCGTCTTTTTTTTTCAAAACGAATTTCAACCTCAACTGAAAATTCCCCTTCAGTTGATGAATCTTCAAATAGAATGGCATCTCCTACAGAAATAAAAACATTAAAATAAATAGATTTTAACATACCGAATCTCTTTAGTGCTTTTTTTGTACGATTGCTTTTACGACGACGATTTTGATTGCACCATCGTTTCATAGTTTTCATCAATGGATCAAGTTTGTCCTTGGATCGTTCCATTTTTTGGTATACATTTTGCGTGTTGAAGTTGCATGTGTTTCGATAATTGAAAGTCAACGAACATAGATTGTTCCAACGTTCCTCCAATATGATCGAATCCTTCCACGTTTCGTCTTCTTCAGCAACTTTGAGATTTGAACGAGAAAATATTTTCGCGAAAAATTATTCGAATTTGGTAGGGTTTTTGATTCAAAAAGTGAAGACCTTTTTTTTTAGCTCATCAATGTAGAAAATTGAAGAGATTTGTCAAAATTTGCTAGGGTTTTTAGCGGAGAATTTTTTTTCCCGATTTGCTAGGTATTTCCGTCAAAAAAGAGCAAAAAAAAAAAAAAATTAAAACGAAATTTGTATTGATTTTTGTATTTGAGTCGACTAGAATTTTTTTATAAAATCACCCCTCCCCCCCTGGAAAATTTTGCCAATTCGCCCATTCTTTTGAGTCTTTCAATCAGTTCTTTCGTTTCTTTCTTAACTGTTTTTCCACAGCTCGCGAAATATCTAGTGCGTTCTGCACAACCGTTCAGGAATACATACATTTATGCTGTAGATTGAATGATGCATGCATCATTCAATGTACATCATATGCCGCAAACGCAACGCAGGCACGGATCAAAATTCAATGAACATCAACCGCAAAAATATGCTGCTAGCCAAAATTATTGCAGAAACATTACAAAAGCATGAAATCGATGCTTTTGAAATTGGCGTGGGATTTATCGAAAAGTACAATTGAAAAGTCGTGGAAAAAGCTTTTAAAGAAGGATTATAAGGACTACAATGATGCAATTCGCTAATTCGAAGATAATATATTTTTGCTTTAAAAATGTGTTTTTTTTTGCTCAAGGCTTGTATCCAAATCTAAATACAACATATTTTTTTATATTTTAACTGTAATTAATGAATATTTAAAAGTATATTGATTTTATAATCATTTCAATTTATTCAACTAATAAATCATAATAAACTTAAATGGTATTGAAAAATACATGATCTGATCTATTCATTGGAATATATCTAAATGGTTTCATTGATACACAATTTGGCATTTTTTTCTTGCAACATCGTAACATCGGTTAATTTTGGTTTGGTGGCATATTATAAATGTGCTAAAAGTTCTTTTGATAGAAATAAGCAGAATATAAATATTATTTGAAAAGTTCCAATGAATATAATGGAAAACAACGAAAATTCAATTAATTCACCTGAAAGTGATGTGGACCGTGTACGATGATCATTTTCAATTTTGATATAGTGAATTTTTACCATGCCCTTGATGTGGAAAAATTTCGCCGTTGCAAATGGAAGGCGGTGTTTGAACTCACAAAAATGCACATTATTTATGGAAACCTTTTATAATTGCAAAATGAGTGTGATTCAATTGATTTGAAATTTTCAAATTTACTAGCTAACCTGATACTTGTTCTCTTCAACCACAATGGCCATTCTAAATGGTGCACCATATTTAATTGGACACCCACCATCGCGTTCTTCATCTTTCGATTCGAAGCATGCTTTATCTGCTTGATGGTTTCGAACGATTACACTTTCGGAAGGTTGTACACTTAGGTGAAAAGGTTTGCACGAACCGTTAATAAATTCTACATAGAACCTAATATAGAAAAAAACCCATTGAAATGTGTATATTTTTCATATTTTAAAATTTGAAATCAAACCTATCTCTATTAAGCATTTGACCGTTGATTTCAAACATGGTTCCATGGCGAAGTTCTCCTGAAATTGAGTGCACCAATGGAAGATCCTACACATATTTAAATTCAATAAAATATTAAGCACATTTGATTAGATGTTTTGGCGTTCTAGTTATCTTTCAAAAATAATGTAAAACTATCTAATTACTGGATTGATAATAAGTTGTATTGATGACATTTGATAATTTTTTTATACACTTGTATTTGAGTGAAACAGCAAACAATTTTAAATTGTAAAATGACTGATTTCATATTCGTTTAACGCCTTTATATATCAAATCTGAACATTAATGCATGAAAAAATAATTAAAGATTCTTTTCATCTAGTTTCTGTAAAAATTTAAATATTCACAAAGCCCCAAGTATTGACCTCCACCATTCAACAAATTTAATGTTTTCTTTTTGAATTATTTTGAGTTTGGAGGCAATAAAGATCGAAGTAAATTGAATCTAAAGTCTAAACAGAAAGAAAAAGAAGTGAAATAATTAATGGTTTGAGCAAATAATCGGTAATTTCAACAAACATATGATACACAGTAAGAAAATATCAGCCGACGCTATACGCAAAACCGACTGGTACGTGCGCACATACGTTTTTACATCTTTTACATCTAGTGACCATACGATTTTTCGACTGATTCATTACTCTTTGTGCGTATCTTCGCACAGTCGAAAAATCGTATGGTAATAGATGTAAAAGATGTAAAAACGTATGAGCGCACGTACCAGTCGGTTTTGCGTATAGCGTCGGCTGATATTTTCTTTCTGTGTATTGCAGAAAAACAAATGAATATGGAATAGTGAAATAATGAGTGCAAGATTGAACAATTGAATTGAAATGTTTCAACTAACCATGGTAAATGCACAAGCACAAAATCTCGAAGCCATAAAAATTGTGTGAACAATTAAAATCGATTTCTTTTAATGTAGCTTTATTTTCTGCATTTTGTGAGCAATTTTGTGCTCTTTAAATTTATTGGCGGAATTTCTCGCTGACACAGAATTACATCGGTTTTGTGTACTTACATATTCCTAAATTGAGTGCAAACGAATAAAAGAAAATCAAAGCCATATGTTAGATTTGTTCCTGATTTTATTTGATATATTTTTTTTAATAATATTTTGAATAAACATATTTCAATTCAGATAACAATTTTAGATTCAATTTATGTGTATTTGTATATTCAGAAGTTGAGCACATTAAATGTGATGTTATAACTATAGTGGCCACAACTTCTTGCAGTCCTTTTCAAAATACATGTTTTCTCTCACTTGGTCGTTGCGTTGTTAGAAGAATCTGATTAACCAAACAACTATCTACTTCAAAGGAGCTCGCAAAATATTTGATTATTCTTTCCCCGTTGGGTTTGAAATCTGAATAAAAGCTGATGAAATGAAATTGGCAAAATAAATCACATTAACTGAAAATCCTCACTCTTTGAAAGTTTCGCTTAATTCACTTGACATATCTTATTCTAAATCATAATTTTCGTACTCTACGTTTATTGATACAACGTTTTATTGATAATAGTATTTATAATAACGCACCTTCATTCACCTGGAATAAATGTATACAGTATTACTTAAAGCTAAAACTATCGAATGCTAAAACAACAAAATTACTCAACCATGTAAATATATTGCTATTTATTTCTGTCTATTATTTAAATAGAATATTTTTATTGTATTTATTCTTCTTCTTCTACTCCTTCTTCGGTAAAACTTCAAGTGACAATTAAGCGCCTTAGTCTGACGATGATGATGGTCCACTTATTGAGCCGGATCGATGCAATGATGTGCGTGAGTTTTGTCGTTGTGGAATCACAAACTTTGGAGCCGGTTGCCGTGTACATTGCGGCTGTGGTATTGAATTGGCCGATGTTTGTCGTGCCAATGCTGGTCGATTCAATGGAGCGGATGTTGTTACTTGAATTGATGCGGACCGTATTGGTTGCGCAGGTACATTATTTCTTGGAGGAATGGCTGGCGGTGGCCCGCGTTGTGCTACCGACCCCTGTCTCGGTGGTATTTGTGGAAGTTTACCTTTGTGGAAGTAAGAAGAAAAACAAAACGAAAAAAATATATTGTTGGTGTATGTTTATTAACCTTTTTTTAACATTTCAGAGCACTTATGAGCACATTAAGTGATTTCGAATTTGATTCGGTACAATTTGAAGAATATGTGCAACCCACATTCTCAGCATTATTTCAGCTTTTGAGAGAAGCCACGGAGTGTGAAACAAAGATGTCAGTGTTAAATGTGATGTCAGTTGTGGTGGACAAAATGGGCGATAAATTAACAAATAATGCTGAAAGTCTGTGTCACTATTTACCAATGCTATGGAATGAAAGCCAAGATACATAGATATGCTACATTGCGCGATTCTAACCGCTTTGTCAAATGTCACTTATCACAAATTACTGTTTAAATTAGTTGAATAACGATTTTCGTTTAATAATAGCTAAAAATCATTGTTGCCATATCTGATATTCCACCGTTTCTTGCATCATTTTTGTACCCGGTTATCGCAATGAACACAGATAAAGAGGAACCCACACATATATGAACCGTTGAGAAACAAAGATATCTTCAGAAAAGTTGAGAAAAAATCTTCAACTTGAACTAGGATGTAAATCAAATGTCAACATTTAGGAGTTGAGAATTAGAGAACAACAATAAAATAATGAGAAACAAACTGCAACATAAGTTATGATGCAGTTTGTAATGAAATGTTTCACTGTTGCTCACTAATTTCGAACTTCTATTGGTTGCCCGAAATGTCAATTTTCTCACTATTCAATAGGTGTCACAAGGCAAGTTTATATGAAACTCTCGAAGACTCGGTATAGAGCACTCAATTTTTTTTCATTCTGATTTCACCAGGTGATACAGAAAATTGATAAGTATTTGTAAATCGAAGAAAAAAAATTTAATGATTTTATTTTTTTTATTTTTCGCGACTTTTAAAAATAATTAAACCATTTCTCGGTTTGCATCTGGTTTCGTATAATAAATATCAATTGAATTTTTTTTTTTTTTTTTTTTTGACAACATCAACGCTAAAGAATGATATACAGAGTCCCAAGCACTCAAATTGCACTGTTCGCCCGAGGCATTTACACCGTGCGTCAGCTAAAACACGAAACAGAATACGGAGCGAGATACGAAGAAAGTAGTATATTTGCATATATGCTTCGTGCCTTGCGTCTTGCGTATACGCACATCCACTACTTTCTTCGTGTGTCGCTCCGTATTCTGTTTCGTGTTTTCGTAACTGACGCACGGTGCGAATGCCCCGGGTGAACAATGCAAATTGAGTGCTTGGGGTTCGTTTCAGTTAAGAAGCTTACCTTTGGCTTGCTCTGCGGTGGTCGTTGACGATGATGTGGTCGTCGTTGTTTTTGAGGTGATGCTCGATGTTCGTTGGAGAATTGCTGAGGTTACATTTGATATGGATTGCGTTATGGAACTTTGTATTGTATTTGTTTGAGGCTGAACAGTTGAAACGGCTGTTGTCGGCCTTTGAGGTGCGATATTTACAATTTGTGGTTTCACTTGAGATTGTATAGTTTTAACCGGAACATTATTACTCGGTGCTGGCTGGGATGGTGGTTTATTTACAGCTGCGAAATTTAAATTTAGAGAAAAATCATATTTAAAAAAAATGTAAGGTTCCTTTTCGGGATTGCCAATGTCTTTGAACGTTATCTCAAACTAAAATTTCGAAAGCAAGAATTTGCTTACCAATTTGTGGTGATGGTATACTCGGAATTGGTTGCTTTGGTTGTTCGAATACTTTTTGTGGATTCAAAACTTTCTTCTGCTCAGGTCTGGCGGCAACCCACGAAAAGACGCACAGTACCGAATATGCAATTTGATCGGCCTTAATTCAAGAAAAATATTCAATCAATATTGGTGAAATTTAAATGTGAATACAACACGACACAAAAAAAATCCATTGTAAATGCAACGATTAAATGAACTTACAGAGAATAGAAAAATTGTGCACACAATTCATATATATAAAAAAAAACAAACGTATATACAACTAAAAATACAATACATCGAACAAAAGTGGTGGATGGTGTGTTTGTGTGTGTTTATGTGTTTGAGCGTGTGTGTGTGTGTTTGCTGGTCTTTGATGTTGAGTTTCTTGTTTTTCTGACAGAAAAATCATTTTATTTACAAAATAAAATCGTATTGAAATGTTGAATATCCATGATTTTGGTTTTATTATTTATTTGATCACATGCGAATTTAACATTTTACATATATTAACTAATAACAAAACAAATCAATTAAATTATAAATGAAAAACAAAATCACATGGCCTCAAGACTGTTTGCTATCAGTTTTTTGGTCAAGCAAATGGAAAAAATGCGATGAATGCTGAGTGCCATATCTGGTGCCTGAATTGATCATACGGCATTCGAACGTCACAAAATTGAAGAAAAAAACCACATTAATGAACATGATTTAAATAAAACGAAAAAAAGAGAACATATTCAATGACAAAATGGTTAAGCCAATCAAAAATTATGAACTACGTCTTTTTGACATGCATTTAAAGAATAAATAATAAAACATACGACGATTATCAAAACAAGACTACTTACCATTGACGACATGTATTTTCGTTGGATTAGCTGTTTGGTTTTTGGATCTGACGGAAATAAAATAATATTAATTTATGACGAAACCATATGGTCAATTGGTAACTCCCAAAAAACTTACTCGATTCTTCTAAAATGAAAATGCCACCCTTTTGAGTAAAACACCGCCGAATATTCTCCAATCGTACGAAAAACTGTGAAAAATTAATATTGGCATTTATTTTATTTGAACAAAACCACATTGAAAATGTCAAACCAAATGAAAATGAACAAAAAGAAACAATATCTAATCCTAACGGTATGCTTATGAGACTGAAATTTGTATATTTCAATGCAAACATTTTCTTAGCGTATAAAAATCGTTTGTTTCGTCGTTCAGAGGTGTGTTTTGATTTGAATGGGATTGGTTTTTTTTCTTCGTAATTAAATCAAGCAAATACAAAAGCCAAAGCAAAAAGTAACTCTTAACATTGACGGCACAAGTTTTTTTTTTTTGGCAATATTGTTGAAGAGTATTTTGTATTCGTTTACTGCTCATACACACACAGACAGACAGCCAAAGCTGATACTAAGTCAGATAAAGGATAATCGCATTTTACAAATTCCATATTTGTTATGTCATATGGGAAGCAATCAACACTACAATAACTACATGTGAAATTCATACATTCGCTAAAATCGAACTCAAAGCGAAACAGCTTTGTGCAGACAATTCAAATATGAAAAAAGCAAATAGCAAATTAAAAAAAATGTTAGCAGCTATTGATGGAAAGCAATGGAATTTGGCAATTGGCTAGGAACTAGGAAAATGGGCAAGCAAAAAAATGAAAATAAATTAGGTTGTTTCTTTAAGTGATTCAAATCAAATCTAAATACTTCGAGAATAACAAAATAATACAGTGTTAGCACTCATGAGATGGTCTTGAAAAGATTCAATTTTTTTTTTATTTCAATGGAAATTAAAAACCAAAATGTGTTTGCGGTGATAGTTGTTTTTTTTTACAATTCATTCGTTTTGAATGATAATCGATGGTCTCTTTCATATTTTTTAAAATATTTGTTCAAGTTTCTTGGCATTCATTTTTTTTTTGTTCAAAAATTGAAACCAAATTGGGCTTTTGAAAAGATTCTCAACGGAAAATTTGGGATATAATGGCCAAATAGTCTAAATATGTTCAGTGTACATGCAATCTATGCGCCTATTGCATTTCAACGGAAGCGCTTTTGATAAGCTAAATTGTGTTTGTTTTGTTGAAAATGTCAGCTACAAAGATAAAAATTAAATAAATCATAAAACAGTTGTTTGAAAAATGGTGATTTCTACGATATTATCTAATTCATTCAACGTTTTTTTTACAGTTTAATGCAAAACGGCAACTGTTTTTGAAAATGAAAATAAACAAACAAATAAATGTTTGGCAAAAACAAAGAGCAAACTCAAATTTGTTCACCGATTCGGAGTAGCAAAAATAATTAGAATTACCAACACAAGTCTAAGACTTCTATGTATTTTGTTTTTGTTTTCTATTGTTTTATACAATGTTTTGATCTTTTTGAGCTAATTTTGTGACTCAAATCATACAAGCAGCAGTGCTTTCGGTCCCATAAACCAGATACTAAATATCACACTTAAAATGAATGCGCTCTAAATTGATAAATCTAGTGAAAATAACCAAAGAAACAGGTAACCAAAAAAATAATCAATACAGAAATCTACAATGTGATTGATCATTGACTGTGTTGTTGTTGTTGTTTATTGAAATGCTAAGCAATGCTTCGATTTTTATACCTCCAAACAAAATTACATTACAATCATATCAAAGAATAAAGGAATATTTTAATTGTTCGCGAAATCGTAACAGTATTCGGTATTTGTTTGTGTACATGTGTCATGTGTGTGTATATATATGTGTGTGTGTGTGTGTGTGTTTGTGTGATACGTGTGATTCGTTTTCAATTTCGATCGATTGAGACGGCAATTTTGCTTGCAATCTTTTTTCGATCTCGAGTGAATGTGTGAGTGTGTTATAAGCGTGTCGAATCAAAAAAAAATATTATTATTATTTGGACAGGGTGGGACGAGCATAACTGTTAAATGTATATCGGGTTATTGTTATGATTTTTTTCTATTGTCATTTTGTGCGTTTAGTTTGTTAACTTCCTCTTGATTCAAAACAAACCGTTTGCCATTCTAACATCAACTAACTAAAACAAAATGAAAAATAATCAAGAAAAAAGTTTGTTGTAATACCTCGAAATCCTTTACGGACATAATTTTGTTTGTTTATTGTTTGTGAATATACGTTTTTGTGTAGCAAACGTACATCGGTAGAGGAGAACAACATGAAGATGACCAGTCCAATTTTATTTTTGAGTTTTTGTTCAATTTGTTTTTTTTTTTTCAAACATTTGTTTTGTGTGCGGTTTTTTTTAATCAAATCGAAGATTCAGCGGCAGCACATTTGGCACATTCAAATTAAAAATACACATATGAAATGTTAGTAATGATAAAGTATTTTTTTGCAAGACATAAAATTTGAAACATTTTCCAAATAAGTAAACTAACCAAAACGCAAATTAAAAATTGGAAATAAAAAGATATATTTTAAGTAACTATATTTTTTTTTTTTTTTCATTTTCAGTCTAACAATAAAATATTAAAATGAATCACATTTTGTTTGTTAAGTAAAAAAAAAGAACAAAATGATCACATTCATTTTCGTTAGTATTTAATGCTTTTCCAAGGACCATCTCAAAAGTTACTAAACAAATTGTTAAAAAGAATTGTAGCAAACAAAAAACCGAACGAAGAAATAAAAAAAAATGAGAAGAAAAGAACAAGGGGCGAATTTGTAAAATTATGAATTGAGAATTGATCGTTGTGAATAAAAGAAAAAAAACATTCGAATTTGTTAATTTTATGACCAATTTTAACTCAATTGAATACAATCCATAGCATAACCACTCACAAACACAGATTTGCACACAGTTTTTTCTTCTTCTTCTCTCATCAATTGATATGCGTTTTTAATGGTTTTTTTATACCGATTCGGTGATTTTTCGTGCTCATTTTTGTTAGTACACAAACAGACAAAACACCATTTGTTTTGTTTAATTTAAATCAATTTTATGCGATATATTATCATTAATTGCCGACATTTTTTTTAACTTGAATTTATTGAAATTATGACCAATTAATTGGTATTTTTGCCGCTTTCTTTCATTTAAACAAAACGAATTTAAAGAATTATGTAGAATTAATAATTTTTTGTTATGTAGAAATGAAATTAAAAAAATGAATAAAGTGAAGAAGTCGATGACATGCATTGACTGCATTACACTCTTTTCTTTAAGAATATGGGATGAAATTGTATACAATGTGCGAAAAAGTTATCGATTTACGACAAAAAAATGTATAAAATACCCATAGATATCGCTTTTTTTCATCTTTTGCTTGAATTTTCTAGCGAAATCTGTGAATATTTTTCACTTTTTTTGGATGTCAGTGTCGATAGAAATTTTCTGCGACTTGTAAAAAAGGAACGTATATGAAAAAAAAAATTAAAATAAAGCTGGATTAAAATTGGATAGATTTTTCACGGATAAAAAAAAATGAATAAAAATGTTCACGCATACAAACATCAAACACAATTGAAAATGGAGGAGAATTCATGATAAAAACGGCATAATGAAATGGCTCGTACAATAAATATGAAATATAGTTTGAAAATTTTATATTCTTAGCATTAATTGAAAAAAGAGCAAATAAAAAGGAGTTCATGAAAGAAACGAAAAAATGGAAAGAGTTGAGAAAACGAAAATGTTGGTATGTAAAAGTAGAGGATGCTTTGACATAACTGCTGATATGATAAAAAATAATTAGTAATTGATTTTATTATTATATATTCGATTCGAGTAATAATTATTATTGCGCGTTTTGTTCAACCATAACCAAAGAAAGATTAATATATTTTCATGCGTTTTTTTTTTGTTTCCTTTGTTTTAAGTGTATAATATTGAGAATGATTCTATTTAAACTAATTATTGGCTGGTTTTTGAACGAAATGTTCTCAATGTTTAGTTAAATTGGCTGCATTTTGTCATGCGTATAAGTAATTAGAATCGTTTTCGCATTTGAAGCATAAACAAAAGTGTGACTCGGACTAAAATAAAGAGATTAAATCCTAAAAAATCAAAACACAAACAACTAAAGGAAAACATCTAAACTGTAACTCTGTCTAAAGAGAAGGTCCTTGTTTCATTTCTATCATTCGGTTTTCTTTTCTTTTGTTTTTAGCCAACAAAAATAAAATGTGTCAATGATTGAAGGATTAAAATGTGATGGCATTCAAATTGACAGAGCGTTTTCAATCGTTGTGCACTGTCGCACGATGGATATCCAGAGGAAATCCATCAAAACAAACATCAATACCAACTGATTGAATTTTTTTTATTTGGAAATTGAAACTCTGTTTTTGTTTTAAATCATTGTTCTTGTTGTGTTTTCAATTAAAATGTCTCATACTGAAACGAAACCAAATCAAATTGAAACGAAATTCGGAAATGAAAAAACCTAATCTAATCATTCGACTAATAAAATTGCATTGTATTTATATAATATTTTTTTAAATTCTAAAATATTGGAATAAAATGTGGATTTTTAAACGATTTCGCCTTACCTTGCTATTTGCAAATAGCAAACCAACACCTTCAAGACAAACTTGTAATAGACCTCCTTCACCCGTTGCCAAATCTTGGACGGGAAATTCACCGCCCAACTGTTGACAATTTTCCGGAATTCCACGACGTTGCATTGACGCATTTATACAATAGTATAACTCTTTGCACTGTGAACAATCCCAAATGGTTTACAATTATTGTCAGCATCGACTTTCAATTGATCTCAATGATGTTTACCTTTCGTGTGTAGTATTTATGTAACTGTATTTGTTCGCCGTTTTTACGCCACAAACACAGAACTTTTGTTTTTGGTGAGAATGTCATATTTACGAGTCGTTCATACCACCATCGCTCAACGATGGCACCATTTACAGAACGAAGCACTAAACCATCATCACGGACTTCCATAAAACGTAATGGTCCGGTTGCATCAACGCCTTGATTTACGGTGAAACTCTGGCGATGCAACATACGGGAACCAAGCGGTTTGAGATCGATATCATTTCCACTCTGTTTATGGAATGAAATAAAAGAAAATTGAATGACATTTCTTGTCTGGCAACTATGTTCGGGGTACCTACCAAATTTGTAATTTGATCGAGCAGATCGTGTACTTCTTGCGAATACACTAAACCAATGTGACTTTTGCCCAATAAACGACGCACTTTTCGTTTAATTTCCTCTTTGTTAACATTCAACATGACAAGTTGAGCGGTGACATTGAACAACATCGTTGAAAGTAAACGATCTTCATCGTGCTCCAATCGTTTGCGCTCCGAATCGCTCAGTGATTTATAACGTTCCATCATTTCACTTGGGCCCTGATCCATTCCAATCATTTCACGCTCTTGACTCACCGCATCCAAAAAGGCGTCTTCCCAGAATTGCATCTGATCCCACAGATTCGATCTATTGCACAAAATTAAAAATAAGTGCGTCAATAAACAAAATAAGAGACGAATGAGAGATAATTTTCAAATGGTTTTTACCTTTCTTTTCCAAGCATTCCTTCGTAGAGATAAACACGTGGTGCATCTGGTGAGGGAGATGTTGAATTAATTAATTGACCACCAGTACAACGAAAACCAAGTGATAAATTTGATTTACCCGAAAAAATGCTGCTTGAGCGACTTTTGCTCTCCTTTGGCACATTCATGTGCTTTGGGTACTAAGAAAAATCAGATTGCAAATATGTTAGAAATATTTATGTAGTATTCAATGTCGTAGCTATAACCACTAATAGTTTGTCATGCAATCAAAGCTGTCACCTCATTGAACTGGTTATCGAACTAACTAAAAATAATAAGAAACTGTGCATGCTTTTTAAAATTCGTTGTATTTTTGATGTTTTGGTTTTTTTTTGTCATCCATTAAAATTTGAAACGATAAATTGGCCAAACGTTATACAATTTTGGTCTAACAGAAAATTAAGCTTCGAGGCATTTACAAGCGGTGGAATTTCGTTGTAATTTTTGTAATGCGACTAAACATCGATTTTAACTTGGAATTAAAAGCATTCAACTCCTAAAGACCGAAAGCGTCCTCAATGCTAACGTCCATCACTTACATTTTCGTATTCGGTATCGGAGACGGTCGAACGGCATGATATCGATGGTATCGATGATATGTGACCACCGCCGCCGCTGACTGCATGGGAAATTTGTGCATCGCTTGCAACAGATAATACTCCAGATGAACCATGCACCGTGGCCTATTGGCATTTAAACAACACATTTATAACACAAAACATTCAATAATCTCAATTGTGATGCACCACTCAATATTCAAAAGCCAATCGAATCAATGTTTTTTTTTTTCAGTTTTTTTAAATCAAAATTTTTATATCGAAATGTATTTTTGAAATGAAAATCAAATACGACGTTCAAACGTGAATTTTTTGTTTTAGCCAAACAATTATAATTTCCAATAAATTTATTCACAACTGATTTTGCAATGGTAATTTCAATACTTACATCTGATTCGAATGACGTGAGTTTGCTCATTATCATGTTTCGTTTTTGCGACAACATATCCTTGAACATGTCTGACGTAGATTGCTTTTGGTCTTGGGCTTCTTCGTGCAACGGAATACGGCGATTCATTGCCGAATCGGTCAACAATGAATTTTTGCGAGACAAATCGTTCCGTTGACTTTCGGGGCTTTGCGGTGAATGCAGATTTTCATGGCTTCCCAACGGACTGACAGTCTAAATTAGAAATTGAAAAATTTTATCATTTTATTCAGGTGCGGCAATTAAAAAATATATTGTTATAAGTGCCCGCCCTTCTCCGGTACCAACAACAGCCCTGATTAAGAAACGGATTTTAATAAAAATCTCCATCATTCACCTGACTCGATAGCAATGACGTTGATGCATGTTCGCTTCCTTCAGCCAGATCCTTGCTCCAATAGTGAGTGTGAGCGATTTCCATGACTTGAAACACTGAAGCCATGCCACCCAAGCCGAAATTAGCATAAGTCACCTCCAAACCGTGTGACAAAGCTTGCAAGCACTTGAGCATTCCACGCCACACTGGTTTCGGTATACACACATCATCGATATGATCATCGGGTGCAATTTTCTTATCGAGTGTTCGATTCAATTTGCTCAACACCAACATTCGATATGATTCATCTTCCATTAATTTTCTTAATCGATTCAATTTCAACCATCCAACACCTTCGCCCATTAACACTTGGGCACATACATCTTTCAAAAATGCTTGATTCTCCGAATTGCTTGACGATCGCTCCGCATTTTGTTGACGCTGAAGTTCTTCTTGTGTCTGTTTTGGTCCAGCATGTTTAATTAATGGAGTGCGCTCCACCAATGCCTTACGACCAGGAAACGAATCAAAAGGCAACAATTTTTCTTTTGTACTCTTTTGTTGTTGCTGTTGATTCGAATTTTTCTGGTTGTTTTGTTCTATAAGAAGACGAAACAATATTCAGATTAGACGTGTAATTTACTAAATAAATACAGTTAAGAAGAAGTCGAGTGGTAACTTACTTTTTCCGAATAAATCAGAAAACATAGAAGACGTCGATGAAGCGATTCCATTAATTTCACTGCTAAACGTTGAGAAGAAGTCACGACCACCAGAATGTGCGACAAGCGCATTACCGGTTGGTTGTGATTGTTGATGATGCTGTTGTTGTTGATGGTGTTGCATCGACGAAGGTGGTGAATATTGTTTTTGCGATTGAGCGTTATTCTCTCCTTTCATAAGACCTTTCTTTGTGGCTGCTTCTTTGGCCGTTTTCGTTAAATCGCCAATCGTCGATTTACCCACGTACGTCAAGTCTTCAAATGTATTTTTGCTTGCATCTGCTGCATGCTTCGACGCTTGTAACGCCTGTTTCGATGCATCTTCAGCCGCTTTCTTGGCTTGCAACGTTAACTAAAACAAATAATACAATCGAAAATCAGTGTCAAGAAACAAAAAACGGTAGTTTTTGTTATTAAAGCATAAAATAAATGTATAAGCCAACTTATAATTGTAACTACGATTAAGGAATGGGAGTTAAACATGCAATCAAAAATGCAATGTGCCTGGTTTAAAGTCGAGTGTGTTCGAATACTTTGAGTGTACAAACCTGCTCAAATGGAGCCAACAATTTTGCTTCTTCTTCAACAAACTTTTCCTTGGCTTGAGTTTTTAACTGTACAATAAAATGTCATGGTCATTTTGAGGGTCACAAATTGTTGATAGATTTGACGGAAATATATGGGACACACACAGATAGAGACGTATACAATATAATATCGGATTGATTTGGGTATCAATATTATGCTTCAACACATTTACACACATTTATGGGAATATGTTTAAGCATTCAACGAACGAAAACAAAAATGGTTAAAAATGCACTTACTTTGTCAACATGAGCCAATAGTCCATCTTGGCTACTTTGCCGCTTGGTTTCTTTAACCAATTCCTTGGCCTGTGTTGCAAACTGTTCAAAAAGCGATCCTTGTGAACTTTGACGATTCGAACTGGCTGAACCTAATGAAGGGTGTGGACTTCCTACGCTACCCGACCCCGAACTAGATGTTCGTGCCAATACATTGCCAACACTTGGTTGACGCGTTAATGATGAACTCAACGGTGAAATCTACAATTAAAAATGCCAAGCAATCAAGCCACCTATATTCATCAAGCCAAATGAGGATAAAACCACTTACCGGTTTTGGAGGCATTCGTCCTTTCTTATCCAAGCTTTCATTTGACGCAGTCTCTTTGGGTGATGGTAACATAGTTTTTGTTGTTACTGTTGAATTTGAATCGGATTCATTTTCAAAGCTGCTGGCTCCAGTTGGTGCCATTGCCAAAATATTATCACGACTTGGTTCTGCTTCGCTTATATCTTTTGTTTGGGTGGCAAAGTCAAAATCCGAGTCTTGATTTAAACTTAGTGAATTATCTGATTCACTCGAAGAGTCATCTGATTGTGGGGAATGGGGTCGAGAATCATTTGTTTCACCGCGTGGTTCCATGCCTTCTGGAAAACGTAATGAACTTGGTGGTCTGTACACCAGTTTTGTATCTAAATTCGATGATAGTGTTTGCGGATGATAATGTTGATGTGAATGCGAGCCATAAATATCACTAATGCTGGGCGATAAATCGGATGATTGCATTTCAGAAACGAAATCACTTAACGATGAATACGATGAACTTGTACTTTCCGCACCCTCTGAATCCGAACCACTTTCATCGGTTGGTTGATTCTCTAATTGTTGTAAGTTTTTCAGTGCTGTATTTATTGAGCTATTATCATCCCATACTGAAAATCTTATTGGTGTCAATACGTGAGCAAACCATTTCGATTTGTCACCAATTTGCGTGGGATCAAGTAAACCAGTTTGTACTCTAAGGAATGCAACATTTGTGGGTGTCAATGACCATTCAGCTAAAAATTCAACCGCCTGTGTACGAGCAAATCGATTCAGAAAATTCGAAGCTCTTGGCCGGGATCGCAAAAAACTGTTTATTTGAAATGCAACCACCGGGCGTGGATACAATCTCAAAGTGCGAGTATGCTCGGTAAAATTGGCCAGGGTATTTTGAGAGTTGAAAAATCGGACCATGGCAACACGCGTCGCTACGTCGACCGAATCAACGTCACTGCCATAAATGAAGGGGTTCATTGATGGTGGCAGTTGATTGGCCGGACTCAGGATTCGAGGAGTTCCTTGCGATGATATCGATGGACGCTGACTCGAGTTATTTGATGCGAGCCCCTCTTGTATTGATAATCGAGGGCTGTGAAAAATATTAAGGATATTAAATTAACAAAAATGTTTGGAATAGGAAAAAATCGCATTGTCTCACCTCAAGATCTGCGGTGACACCAAACTATCTCTGGCCGAAGTCATAATTGGTGCAGCAAATGCATTTTGATTGTTCGGCGACATCGAACTTAATGCCTAAAAATGCAATTTATATTTACCAAATCGAAAACGAAATATTTCTAGAAACTTTGAAAAAGCTAACGGACTAAATAAAAAGTGGAAAAAGGGCAAAAGATAATTATTATTGTGAAAAGGTTGCTTGAAAAGAAAGTGGATAAAACGCAAACAAAAAATTTCACGAAAAAAGCAATAAACGGATTTGATATAATGCACAGAACTTCTTCATTCATCACAAAAAAATGATTTTTTTTAAAAGAACACGTGCATTCCGAATCGATGGAAGAAGTAATGACGCACATTTTTGTTTCTTTAGAATGGTTTCAAAATCAATAGTCTTATGCTTGAATCAAGAAGCTTGATTTCGTTAAACTGAATTGGTAGATGAAACAAAAATGTGAGCCATTGTTTCCGAAAACAAATTTTATCTACAACTTAAGGCTAAAAGGATTATGTAAAGCAATTGAATATTTACACCCGCTCCAGCATGATCCATTAGCTGCAAAGCCTGGCATGATTGATTTTTTTTTTGTTTTCAAAATGTAATCACATCAATAAATGAAAGAAAATAGAAGAAGAGAGAAAGAAAAAAATAGAGAAGAACAAGACGAAAGATAAGTTGAAAGAGAAACCACATCAAAGCCAATATCAAATGTTGCGTTTGAAAATGCGAAACGAAAAAAGGTGTAAAGCTTGCAAAAATGGTGAGAATAAAAAAAAATTAATAACATCGCTTCACTTTAGAGAAAATTGAAACGCAAAATGTATATTCATAATAACTCCACGTTTATATTAGAATAAACAAGGCATTTCCGTTGAATCACATTGAATAGAAGAGAATTGTATTGATAAATTGTTGATAAATTCAGACACAGTGATGCATATAATGAGCTTCAAGACACAAAATGGTTACCTGTTTCAGATGATTCTTCAAAATGGTACCTATAATAAAAATAATGTTTAGTGTTTGCTGCATATCGGAGTTCAAAAGAAATGAAAAATATTTACAAACCTTCTGGCTCGGGCAGCAAAGGGATTTGTGAAATTTCTTCATTTGTTCCGGTCGGCGGCGAAAGTTTATTCGAATCGAGATCAACCAGCCAAATGTCATCGGGCAATCTAATGGACAAATGAATCAGCTCAGACAGGCACAAAAAATCGGCTCTAAAACTTCGTATACGTACCTGAAATTCTTTTTGTACATAAGAAATGATGCGGGAATGCCAATTACAAATGGTGTTGGAGCCAACAGCAATTGTTCGGCACAGGACATACAAGTAGGTAACAACGGAATGACCGGAAACATGTACTCAAGTGGATAGATCATTGTTACGAATGATATGACAGACATTGATAACGCATTATAGTCTCTTGATTGAAATAAAACCTTATTCTCGAGCAGAATCAACGTGAGGATTTTTAAACATGTATCAACACCTATAAGAAAAGACCGCAAATTAATTCGCTTGTCCGCATTTTCAATTTAGTTTTCTTTTTTTGCAGAATTTTATCTTTTCTCTGCCGAAAATTACTTACCAAGCAACTCGAGCGGCAGATGAAGCGGAAAATCGACTAATGAAAAACGAGTGTGATCAGGCAAAGCAAATAAGAGTGAATCATGTATGCTAGATGATAAAAGTTCGCATTCAATGCGGGTCGAGCCTGGCACCGGCACCGGTGCTGATAACAGTCTTAAAATCCACGTCTCAATTTCTTTGACATCGTGCAATGCTATTGACGGTGTATGATCCGTTGACTGGCTGCTTAATATCGACCAAATATTCTCTCTGTAAACAAAGGAATGAAGCAGATTATGCGTTATTCACCACAAAATACCGATTTATCTCAAATATAGGCCTCCATAAAACGGCATTACATTTTCTTATTTAGTTATACGAAGTAGGAAGTGGTGTACGCCACAGTGGCGAACCGGATGCTATGCTACTACTTTTTTCTATTTTTTTTTTGTACAGAGCAGAATATTACATTTTACAACCGCAATATATTGATTATTTTATGCACAAAAACTTTATTCATTCGATTATAAAAATATAAGCCCCCATAATGTTCTTCAACTCATAATAAATTGAGTTAGAGCTTGAATATAAAACTTTTTTGAGCAAAAAATGCTTTTCTGTGTTATATGCAGATTGGCGTCGTTGGAAAGTTGGTTCCAATGAAGATGATTTTCTATGTCGCGGATAAAAATATATTATGTTGATAAAGTGAAAATACAAGCATCGTAAAAGAAAAAAAAACACTTTCGTCAATGTTTTCTTTCCCTTAACTTCGACGTGATAGAATGTTTACCTTTAATTCTCAAGAAACCCACTATTATGTTTTGCTTTGTCCCTTTTTCTTGTACTTAATTCTCTGTAATGTAAAAATTGTACAGGATTTTTTCCTCTTTCTCTCTCTCTCTCTTTCTCGCGCTTCGTACAACTTTTTCACAGAAATCATATTTTATTTAGGTGTAGGCCCGAAGGAGAAATTATGTCAGTATGTTTATGCTTTTGCAGTAAAATTGTTTAATAGAATGCGGACAAATTTAATGTTGTTCACAGTATCGCGTTCATTTTGTTTTTGTTGCGTGTTGTAATGAATTAAAGGTAAATGTAAATTGGATATTAATTGAAGCAACAGGTTGGAATAGCGTTTTAATAAGAAATGTAAACCAGTTCATGTTGGATGGATAAAAAAAAACCTAATCAAGCAACCGATGTGCAGTAAACTTAATATTTATGTGGTTTCTCTATATGAGTTTGAAAAAGAACGATTTGTTTCATTATTTGATGGAATTTATTTATATTATGTGTTCCCAATAGGTATATCATCACGTTCTAATTAGATTTAATCGATTTTGTTTCCATATTTTGTTGATTATAGACATTTACAACATACCTGGGACTTTGTCGCGATGCACCGACACTCTTGGGACTGGCAGCTTCGTTGCATGCATCGATCAACTTCTTTAGGATAAACAAACATTCACGAAATGTACTGAAGAATGGATGATGAGACAAGAGGCACAACGAAGTTAAGGAATGATTTCGTATTTTGGTTCGTCGTCGCGATGAACGTGGCGATGGTGAATGGTCCGATTCGGAATCGGCACTTGGCGCTGTGATTCCCAATCGAGGCGTTTGATGTAATGGCGCATACGTGCCAGGGGCATGATGTCGATTTGATAATGTATCCGAATCACGTCGGCTACTTGAACAATCACGGTCTGAATCACTTGGTGCTATATTACTCCTGTAGTCGCTGGAAGATAATTTTAAATTCCATTGCTAAATAAATATTTTCTGTCCACAAATTGATCAATTTGTTTTCGAAATTAATTTTCGAGATAGCACACACACACAAAATCGTTGATGCGTGAAAAGAAGAAAATTCGAAGAATGCGATAAAAATACTTGCCTGGAAAATGCTGAATCGGAACTTTTTTCCATGCTTTTGCGCCAACTTTCACGGCGCAACGCAGAATTTCTTGCTCTTTTCGCCAGTGTACTGCTCGCTGCGCTTTGAGGACCATGACCACCAATGTATCGTTCGACCGGTCGATAAAAATTCACACAAACACCGTATCTTGTTTTACCCGAGTCCTTATCGGTTAATGTGAACACAAAGCTTGTTGCTTCACGAATAGCTGTACCAGTTCGACGAGGACCGACCGACATACATCCCTCAGGTTGACAAAAATACACCATATCCAATGGCATCGGAAAATCAGCATGGTCGTATGGCGGATAACGACGCAAGAGCTCCGGTATCTACTCGATTTTTATGAGAAAGAAAAACAAAACACCAAAAGTCAATAAAAGTCATAGTGTTTCATTACATTTGCCATTTCTTTAAATTAACATTCAAGTTTTAATTCGATTTATGGAGAAAAACTTTAGATTTTTCTTTTTCATTATCTCTCTGTCTCACTAGAGCATTATCTTCTTCTTAATAAGAACTTCTTATATAATCACAAATGAAACATAATCAACTAGTGTACTTTTTGTGATTTATGCAGTAAAGTTCACATCGAAAGGCTATATTTCTCATGTAATACAATAAACTTAAACAAGCAAATGGAGTTTCCAAACAAGGTTAAATAAGCAAATAAGACAAAACAAACAAGGATCATCTTTGCCCTTTGCATCCACTTTTTTTGTTTTTGGAACGTTTGAATAATAATGCGTTAGGAGAAACCCGCTTAAGCTTATCGAATGAAACACAATAATCCAATTCCAATTATTAATAAATTTGATTACATTTTGTGACCATCAAAATCATTAGTCCCTCGAGATCCAACCGTATTAAATTGTTCTCTAAGGTTTCACTTTCATGCTTTCGATGGAAAACCTACAACATGTTCGCATTGAACTCAATTCTGATAAATTTAGCGAATATAAAAGATACACTATACTATATGTGTATACCCATCGACTTTTTCCATCGATTGAAAAAAATAAGAAGATTTATTTTCTATGACAGTAACAACCAATTTCACCATCGGATCTTAAAAGAATTCCTTTTCAATGTATTCTATTGACTTTTCTCAACACATTTTGCCAATATATTTTGAGCAGGTTTTTTGCATTACAAATGGATTGGCGTGAAATGACAAATGAAACAGCTGAAAGCACCACCATTTAGAAATTCCCATGCAAATCATGAGACGTGACTTCGTTTTTATTGCTTTATTTTCCTTCCATTTGTTCTTTTTGTGAAACGATGAGCAAATGAACATTTACATATTGCATTCATGCCATTTTGGTACGCAAATGTTCTCAATGAGAACTTCCCATGGAATTGAAAAGTTAAGTAATTCAAATACTTTCTTTGAATTCTTGAGATGGAAAAAGAAACTTCACATTTTCAGCTCTTGCTGAATTATTCGTTTTGATTACACATTTCGACCCAAAGTTAATATTTGAACAACATTGACGTTAATTATGAAAAATTATCGTCGAATAGTGATATTAATTAACCGTAATAATTATAGCGAACTTTAATTAAAATGGAGTAAAGTTCATAATCGTTCGACGTGACTCGGTCGCATCGTAATTATCAATTTTTCATGTAAAACAGAGAGTTTTTCTACAGTCGATTTTTATGCGAGTAAAGTTGGAATTTAATAGTGTAGAAAGAACTGAAGGAGTGAAAAGTCATTTTACTTCTGATCGAATTTATTTCAATTTGTTTCCCTATTGCGATTAGACAGCATATATTGGAAATGGCGTAAGTGTGAGTAGTAATTTTTATTGCAAATATCGATTTGAAATCATTCTTGAGTGCATTCATCTAAGCAAAAAAAAGGCCAAACGAAAATGCAGACAATCAATGAAAGCTGTTAAACAAAGCTATTGTCATTCGATAGATGGAAGTTTTCCTTTGCTTATTAAATTACAAATTGTTGTTCATTCAACGAGAATAGCATAGATTGTCAATTGAATTTTATATCATTTGCGCATTTTTCTTCGAATGGAGAGTTCATGGCGTTTCCAAGCCGGGGTCTGTATTGAATGATTGGATGGCATTGTTAAGATTTTAACTTTCTGATTAACGCTTACGCAAAACCTTCACAGTATAATTGATGACAATATATTTTATTATGTGCGAATAAACCTACGCAAGAGCTTTTTCCAGTTAATTAGCTGCTTCAGACTTAGCTACAAGAAACATGCCATTCATATAACTCGTATTTCTGATTTGGGACTGAGTCGACCATATTTTCAACCGTCGCCGCTTTTTTATCGGTCGCACTGACACTCTCATTCTCATTTAAGACTGCTATCGCGAAACATGAAGCGTAAAATTGTGGAAATAGAACTGTGTATCATATTTCTGTACGTCAAAGTGTACATGGATCAAATCGTAATCAATTAAAAGGGCAGCGTTTTACTTGGTATTTGGTCATTGGATAGCTATTTTTAGATTTTAATTGTGGACGTTGTTCGAGACGAATTTAGCGTTAAAAAAAATACTTAAAACATGTGATTGAAAGGTATGACATTTAAAAAAAGCTGACGATAATGATAAATAAATAATAAGATTTTCTATGTTTTTCATCGAAATCTTCAACTGTTACTGGAAACCTGATTAATCGAATCTCAAATGAGTGTAATTATAATTTATTGAAAAAGCGATGAAAAATCAATTCACTTCCACTGATTTCTTATGAAATATATCTTATGATTTTCTGTTATTACCTGAACTGGTGGATTTTGTCCATTGCCTGAATGTTTGATGTTTGTGGATCGTGAACCAACAATAGCCAAATAGTCGATAAGACGAGGACACAACGATTGTCTCTGTTGTTCAGCCATTTTTAGCTCTCTCACTTACAACTAACGTTTTTAATTAATTTGATTAATCTGTGGTAAAAAATAAGAAAAATTAACATTAATTGATGGAAAAAATTATAAAACGGTTACCAACTCGTTTGTGTGGGCCCGCATTACAAAAAAAAATAACACCACATTTGCATAACCATTTCTGTGGGCGATAGATATTGTCAGCATGTAATATTCTGATAAAACTGCGACAAGTGGTTGCGTTCTATTTTCAATTGGAAAAATCAATTTTAAGCCCTTATGCGAATCCAACAAAATAATAATGCCATTAAATTTGTCTACGGCTTTAGCTGATAAAATAGGTCAAGAGTCAAATTACACAATACATTCAATCGCTAGTTGTATCATGGGCTCTTGGCTTAGTGATGTCATTTCTGCCATAAAAAACATTTCTTAACGTCCAACTGAACATAAGCCAAAATTGATTATTGACTCCAATAGACTAGCACACTGGATTTTTGCAAGGATTTAGAAGAATCAAACGAATGACTTATTTGAAAAGTCTCAAAGAACATTTTATTATAAATCTCTTTTTCTTATGGATAAAAAAAATCTAAAATATTCTGCAATCTCGTCATTTAACATTGGACGTCATTTCATTCGTCGCTCCTTCTTCTTCAAATCTCATGATGCGAATGAATTATGTACGAATTGGTTCGCTACAGTGAACAACGATGCAAAAAAAAAAACACTCACACACAATTCGTATAGCATTGAATGTAATAAAATCCTTTTGTGCTTTGTGACAAGGTCATTAAGTTGTATCACACAGAAAAATCGATTGAAGTGTTGAGAGAAAAGGGTGGCTATCATTCCGTATCACTAAATGAATGAGCTAAAAATAACAATCACGTAGACAATTAAATTGCATAAACATTTCGTTCACATGCATTTCATCAAAATAAAGCAATACACTTGAGGGTCAGGAATATTACGATGGTCACAAGTGATTCATAACGAATTCGAAGAAAGCCAAAATGGCGTGCGTCTATGGAAAAGCACTATAAACCTCACTACAACCAAATTGTCAGAAATATACTATTTTTACTCTGTTTTTCTTCCATTTGCTCACTGTTTTCGACATTTTTTCGATTTTGACATACATTTGAAATTCTATACCGTGAAAGTGGCATGAAAATTGAACTTTTTTCGAGAAAATCATATATAGACAATTTATTGATTTTTCATCACCAAATTTACCTCACTTTTGGTTGCACAATAGACTTCTACATTTTATTTCGTAAATTTATCGAACTTATAACACTCACTTTTTGTATTTTTACTAAATTTAATTAAAGCTATTCATTGAATTTTCATTTTATTCACAAAATGTTGAATCGATATGATTTTTCGAACAAAAAATATGCTTTGCTTATATATTACTTCGTCTTTCTTTTTCTACGCACGCACTGTATGGATTTTTTATGATGTGGAATATTTGACATGGACTAGATATGGCTTTTTCCTATGCGTCTTTTTAGGTGCGAACGATACTAAGTCCAATGTTCGACTGATAAAAATTCCAACACAATGAATGTATTATATGGTTTTCGGAAATTGTATGTCTTTTCTTATCCGCGCCTGGAAAATATCCACAATGAATTCCTCTTTCTGTACTCACTCATTTCCCCTGAAAAAAAGCATTTGTCGTAACATGTGCACGCTTCAAATTCAAATTCACTGTGCGTCGGCGCGCTGCCAATGTGTCAAGTTTACGATTCGAGTGCTTATCATTGTTATAGTCGCTTCACATGCCAATAATTGGCTTTTGATAAGACTCAGCCGTTTCATAGAGCATGAATGCCCTTGTTTTTTTTGCACATATTTTTAATTGCTTCATTTCTTTGACTTTATTTTTTGGTCGAATTTTGCAAAAAGGTGCTTATTTAGATCAAATATATGGAATTCTATAGAATTCTACATTTGAATATATATTTGACTATTAAAACTATTTTTAGATTTTGAATATTTACAACCTGTAGATTTTTACTTTGTACAGGTTTCAAATTTTGCTAGATTAATTCATCTGATAAAATAGTCAATTTGAAGCCATTCTTCTTTTTCTTTTAAGAAAACAGTTTGTTCAAGATCCAAATATGGAAATTGCACTTCGATTATTTCTTCACTTTGGTGACAATAAATCCCTTTTCGTTATTGTGATAATTAAAGTCGTAAATATCAGTATTTCCAACAATATGTGTATTGTTTTGCATATTGACACATTTTTTGTGCACAAAATTGCAAGCAATATGATTTTTTTCTTTTGCATAAAAACTGAAAGTAATTTTGGAAACGAAATATGCTTAATTGCCATTTTATTAAAGTAATTGCCGAATTCGATATCTTGATACATCTCCACTTGAATTTGGACAAGGCAAATTGAATACGAGTGGAGACGCCATTTCAACAAAGAGCATATACCTGTTACTTGTTGGACTCTCTTAATAATATTATAAAGAGACGGTGCAATCTCATTTCTATTTTGTTAGAAACAAGTATAATGCCCTGCCAAATCAGTTTTTTTTTCAATTCAATAGTACTGGAGATAACAATTTAAATGAAATCATATGCATGTTTAGATTGATAAGAAAAAACTGGTTCGCCTTCAATTAAGTTTTCATAATTTTTTCGATATCGTCTGATCTTCAAGAAATGAATAACAATAAAATAGTTTATTTGTATCAATTTTCTACAAAAAGTCTACGTAAAATGGCATTTCACAATTCGAAGGTTGCTGTACACATAAATTCATGGTACATGTATATGAATTTTTGCCACGGTACATTGAATTTGTGAAAGTAAAGTTGTTGCGCAATTTACCGTAACTACAAATCAGCTCCAATGCATTTTACAACCAACATTTAAATTTTGTCTCGTACTTTGCCTTTGAATTGGAAAATTATCACTCTTAACTCACAACCTTCGGTAGCTCAGTTGGTAGAGCAGTGGACTGTAGTGGCATAGCATTGAAATCCATTTGTCATCGGTTCGATTCCGATTCGAAGGAAACTTAATTTTTTATTTTTTGCATCAACTTTTTTCCAATTTTTTTTTTTTTCATATTTTAGTCGATTTTATAAATATTTTTTTTTATTTGGAAAAAAAAATTAAGAAATGAAAGAAGCAATGAAAACTATAATAAATAAAAACAAAAAATTCAATTAAAAAAAGCAAAAAAAATTTGGTTTCCTTCGAATCGGAATCGAACCGATGACAAATGGATTTCGATTAGATCGTTATACCTCTACAGTCCACTGCTCTACCAACTGAGCTACCGAAGGTTGTGAGTGATGAAGCACCCAATTACAATATGAATTAAGACCGTAAGTTTGTAGAAGTGAAAGTTGACTCAATACTTTGAGTCGTAATTACTTCAACTTAATTTATTTTGAAAGTTTTTCACGTGAATTTCGTTCAGAAATTCTACATTCTACATATCTTTTATTCATACTGAACACATTTTGTCTTTAAAATGCAATAAAACAACAACCTTTTAAACAATTGTTCAAACAAAGACAGCAACTGCCACAATTCAGTTGGTTGCGCAAGTGTTTTTCAAGCGTCAAGCGTTGTGAAATGTAAAACGAAACTCTCGTTAGCAATTCATGGTTTTTAAATACGCAATTAAGATTTTTACAGGACTTTTTTGTGGACTTTGAATGAAATTCATCATAATTCATTTTATTCGTATGATTTTTACCAAAATATGTAGTACCTTTCATTAAAAATATAGAAAAATGTAAAAAAGCAGCAATTCATATGCATCGAATTGTATCAATGCGATCAAAAACTTTCATCTTTATTCACTTCTCCATAAATTACAAGTTCAAACTTTTTTAAATGTTATTTTCGCTCCACTCTCTCCTTCTATTTAAATTCATCCATTCGTACAACTATTTAAACTAAAAAAAATCCATAATTAAACTGCCACGAGGTAAAATGATAAGCCAAAAATGTACCAAAGGTTTGGTTAATGACGGAAGCGAAATAGAAATTGAATTTTAAATTTTGGTAGAAAAATTTGTATCGAATGGAACATAAGATCACAAAATATTTGCAATTTACGCAATGTAAAAAACGTCGTACATTTTTGTGAATTAAACTAATTTTTTCGTTTCGAAGAATGTCTTGAGATGGCGCATTTGCCAGAAACCCATGGCGACTAGAACGATTACTTGAGCCAATGACCACCACAATACTCGTTTGTTTGTACTCTCGCTCGTTTGACGGAAACGCTCTTCGCGATACTACAATAACCAAAAGGAAAGAAAAATAATTCATGATTAGATTTGGTTGGAAAATGACCAAATGAAATGCATACCCGTTGATAGTTCTGTTCTTTGGTAATTTGGTCCACTTGGTTGAGTAATTGACGAATACGTAGTTGCAATTCGGTGAGTTTTTCCTTTTGTGCAACTTGAGCATAGTCGACAGCATGTTCGCCAACTTGGATATCAAAATGAACACGCAATTGGGATCCACTAAACCATTGCGATGTGTTCGAGTACAGACAAATTACATGCTCACCGGGTGTGTGAGATGTGAATGGAAATTTGCCTAAAAAAACAAACAATTGACATTAATGAGTGCCACGCACAATACAACATTTTTGACATACCTTCTGCACTATATACACGAGACAAAATTTCTTTATCGTCTGGGTCTTTCACTTCAACGTGCATTCCGATTCCTAATCAAAATGAAAACAACAACAAATAAATCAATTGTCTTCCAACAACTGCAGCTACTCAATATATATTTACCCAAAGTTGGTGGTGCAAAGCCGCCCGAACGCGTATCATATAACTCGATTTTATAATGAGCTGTCAAACAAATAAAAAAAAATCAATTGGGTTCTTTTTTTCCGTTGCTTAGTCTGAAATGAATTTCAAATGAAAAAAAAATGAGAACTTACTTGTCACCATCGTATCTGAAGGCACTTCTTCTATAAAGCATTTTCTTTCTCCTTCGGCCAAATGGAAATACAAACCGGTCACATAGTTAAGCATAAAAGTAAAAATAACTAACGAATAAAGTGGATTCCAATGCATATTGCGCGATGTTATTTTAATTTGGAAATGTTAAATGTAAATTGAAATTATTTTTTGCAAGTTTTTTGATGACGCGAAGCGTTCTGATACAGAATCGAATCGATTAAATCGAAGTATTATTTGCCTTTTGATTCTACGATTATACGACACGTCAACGTCAAATGCTATTGGGAGAGTGTTACCACAGTAAACGTTGCCACTCGCCTAATCGATGTCAGGCGATAGACATAACGGTTGGTTTACACAGTGAGCTATGAACAGTTTCTGGTGATTTTGACGATTTTACGTCTTAAAAAGACTGGAATTTAACGTTTGATCACTTTTTCAAGATGATTTCAAACCATCAACAACATTTTAAACCATTGATATTCATGAAATTGGCCATAAATCGATGAATTTCATCAATTTTTTGTGTAATTTGACAAGTACATCCAATTGGAACGCACACACAACCATACGAATGGCATAGACATTGGGAAATCATACAGAGCTACAGCTGATTTCTTGCTTTATGCCATTGGATTGTATTGGACTTGGAAAGTGTGTATGTGTTAATGATGCATGTGCTCAATCGTGTATCGTAAATGGAGAATCATGCACTACTACACACACAAACGGTAGCATCAAAACTAAATGCTATGTGCACTGCCATTGTGTGTTTGAACAGTATAAAAACAAAGGTTTAACACAAAGCAACATCAGAGCAAAAGAAAACATATAAAAAACGGATTGAAACAAGAGTGTACGCGAAAGAAGAAAAAAAAGACTGTATTCCAAATAATACGTAGAAAAACATTGACTACATTTACTTTGTGCGTTTCAGTCAAGCACAAACCATTGGCCGTAAACAACGACCTGTGTACAAAGTGAAGAACGAATAAATGCACAAAGCGTGCGGACAAATAAAAATATAAACAAAAATACGTAATATATCCAGTAAGTTCTCGTACATTCGATTGACGGATATTGAATCATCTGCTGTAAGTTTGACATCAGATTCATTTCATTTTAGATTAAGTTAAGAAATGTGCAAACATAGAAAGTTTATCAGAACTTAAGAATCGAGCGATTTTTCTTTTTTTTATCCAAAAGAATCGGAATTGTAGAGAAACACAAACTGGTTCAATCTGGTTATCCAGTCGCTTATAACTACGCAACAAACAAACCAAGTACCTATTTTATCGACAGTTGTTCAACTATAGTATATATAATATAAGTCAATTGCACCGTAATTTTTTTTCCTCTTCTTTTATGAGCAACAATTTTCTAAGCTCGCTGGCTATTTTTATAATTGAAAGTCTTTTTTTTTATTTGCTCGTAGTTTTTCCCTTTATTTTCACGATTTTCCAAAGAGAAATGGTTTTTTTTACGTAAACACAGTAACGGCCAACAAATTTTTTTTCTTTTTCAAGTTTTCGAGTAATTCAAGTTGTATTGTGCATGGTTTTTGTGTTGAAAAATAAAAAATTACTATTGAATTGATTCATTACATAAGTTGAAAATAAATATCGTAAAATAGAGAGGCTAAAAATTGTAATTTGATTTTCCTCATTCAATTGAGTGACACATAGAGTCGATGATTTCAATATACAATTTTTGTTTTCATTGGTGAGTGAGTGTGAGGGGGAGAGAGAGAGAGACAATAAATTCTCGTCATAAATTGGTTGCTCATTGTATATGGCACGCGAGAGAGTATCGTTTACCAATACTAGTTGAGTGGTTTGTGTCTATGAGCGAGGAAAAAAACTGTTTCTCGATGAACGAGACCTAAATTCGCATCGAATCAAAACATTGGATGAATGACGAAATGGTGGAAACCCTATAATGTTGACCTATTTCTCACTTATTTTGGTGCTCATCTATTGCTCCATGCGATTTTTTTTTCAATCGTCGCAACGTTATGTTCTCGGTTTTGCAACCAAGGCAAAACGCAGAGAAAGCGTCAATTCGCTCGATTAGATGTGAATTGGTTCGTTTGAACCGAGTCGAAAGAGATAAGATGAGAGCAAGAACGAGAGCAATTGAATCGAAAACAACTCGACTTACATTTAGACGTAAGAATTTCTATAAATAATTTGAACAAACAGAAGCACACACAAAAAACACTCACATTCTCTAAGCTTAAACCAATGAAATCGAGTTGAATATGATTTCAACACGAAGAGAATGTTTTCAACAAAGAAACTACTTTTCGTTTGCTTCGATTGGTAGGAGATTGAAAATGGTGCAGAAATATAAAACATGTTAATTATGCATGTAGACTAAATTAACGCATACACCTTTTGTTCGTACACATTTCATAATTACGGTGACACACAATGTGGAATTGTGTGTGTGTTTTTTTTAATTTCAAGTCACAACCTTGTTATCAAAACTGTAACTACAAAAAAAAATGTGTTTTCTCAATCAAGCAATTTAAAATATTAACTATAAATTCGACGCGTCTCAATTCGATTTGTTTCTAAAATAAAACAGTTTTCCAAATAGGTATATCATTGCATTGGCATACAATAGCAAATTACTGTATTGTTTCAATCTTCTTTGTTTTCAAAGCACACGTGCACATATATAAAATTCAAAATAGCGTGAACGAGGGAAAATATCGTATAAAATATTAGCCAGTGCACAATTATTTAATGTGGACATGTGGTCTTTTTTTTCTATTTTATCATGTGAATGCGTCAAGGCTTCGCAGTTGTGTGAGCCAAAGCTCAAATGACGACGCAACGATTGATAATGACACATTGAATTTTATACATCGACGGTGTGCTGTATTCTCCTATTTATATAAGTTATCATACTAACTGTTGGAACGCTTCGGAATAAAGACGAAGCACAAAAAAAGACGCTGCTGCTGCTACTGCTTCCTCGTTAGTCAGAGCATGTGAAGCGTTAGCGTTGTGTGTTGTAAACAAAACACAGATGATTTCAATGCGTTCAATGTTTACCTCACGTATAGAGAGATAGTGGTATAAGCATATATAAAATGGATGTACACACATATATCACACAGTTTTGCAATGCTTGTGAAATTGGCGGCGCATTTTTTCCCATTATTATTATAACAGACTGTGTCACGATTGTTGGATTGCAACATTGTCTCCGATTCGTTTTAGACTATGTTTTCAACACATTGAAAACATACGTAGAAATATCAGTAACGTCGCGACTTAGCTTCTTTAAATTATTACAAATCAAAGTTACCGTTTTTTTTATTAAATAAATTCGTGTTTTTTATCGTTTCAGAATATTGAAATTTGCAATCGACCTAGAATAGAACGTATTAAAATTTCATTGAGTCATTAAGAGCCGTTTTCGCCGAAAATCGTTCAGAGTAAATAAAGGGTAGCGCAACAAAAAAAAACATGCCGTCTGATTCATTTTCCAGGTAAGAGTTGCAAAAAAGAACATTTTCAACACATCGACCCATCGATGTGAATGAACCGAATTAATACAATTATAAATTTTGTTGATTCGTTTCTTAGAATGGATTCGCGGACTTCGGAGTCCGAATCGGTGAATGGTGCTGAAAGTTTGCTTAGCACATCGCCAGGTGCTGCATCGACCAGTTCCCGGGAACGTTTAGATAGCGACAGTTCAGATCGGTGAGTAATAAAATGATGAGTTTGTTTGGTGCAGGGTATTGAACCGACGCCAGGGCAACATTAAAAACAAAATTCAACTAGCTGGAAATAAATACGCAAAACGATGGTTATTCACCCCGTCTCGTATGAGCCACGAATTTCTGGCGTTCTTTTGTTGTTGATGTTGGTGTTTGCGTGCTTTCTTCATCCTCTCTTTGTTGCATACGTCGTACGTTGTGCTACGTTTCGTATTGGTTTTTGTTGTGCAAAAGCTTCGCAAATTCAACATACACACACACAACGATATATGTACACGACGCATATCTACCACTAAGAAATGGATAAAATTTTGTTGTTTCATTTCTGCGTACACTAAATACAAGTCAATTCTATTCATCGACTTTTAAAAACGTGCGTTTTTTTTTCTCGTCGTTTATTTTGTATCGCGAAAAATGTCGTTTTCTCCATATTTGGTCGAAAGGCCATTTATCGTCTGATCGTTATTTCTACAGTTGCATTTATTGCAGAGCAATCAATTCAATTCTCATTTTCTCATCGCTTGCTTTTGACTCAATCACATGAAATAATACATTTCCGTAATCCATAAATGACTCTGTCATGACGGGGATACATTAGCCTTGAAACGGTTCTTTGTTAACATCGTGTGACCTTTGGTGTAATGCAATTTCCCTTCAATTGACAATGAAATGAAAAATGCTGATGCTATTTTTATTGATGCGATATTGTTTTTTTCTTTCCCTTTTTTTATACAGACAAACGCGTTTCGTTTTACCCGGATCGGCCGGTAGTCCGCCGAAGATATTAACCTTCGACGAAGTTCGTGATGCCATTAAAAATGTCGAAGACATGCAGCTGGCACATGAAATTGCCATCAATCCAGATTTTAAACTGCAACCATATGATCCGCCTGAAAGTAGCTTGGAAAAACGCATAAAATCGATTATGCACGATTGCTTCTGGGATCTATTACGTTCACAATTGAATGCCGATCCACCGCAATATGACCATGCCATTGCTTTGCTTGGCGACATAAAAGAAGTATGTACGATTGGTAATTTGCATAAAATGTGACCGTCATCTAATGTATTCAACCTTTATCTGTTCGATTTTCAGGGTTTCACTCACATCATTTCGAAAAATAATCAAAAAGCATTGGACCGCATTTGCGAAGTACTCGACGAGAAAGTTATTCGACAACAGGCCGAACAGGGTGTACTCGATTTTAAAGCATATTCTGGCTTTATCATACAGCTAATGGCCAAATCGTGCGCACCGATTCGCGATGAGGAAGTGATGAAATTAAATGAAATCGATGATGTTGTGCTCGCTTTTCGGCGCATTCTTGAAGTCATGGATCTTATGAAATTGGGTAAGTGACTTTGAAATGTTTTCATTAATTTTTTTTAATTGATTTCATTATTTGTATTCAATTTAGATATGGCTAATTGTATTCTCGATGCGGCCCGCCGTGAAATTGTCGGCTCATCTGTCGAATATGAAAAACATAAATTTAACGAATTTCTCAAGGCTTATCCGGGTAATTTCATTTTCCCTATCTCTATACTAATTCTGTAAAAATTATTCAAAGAAATTTTCAAGAATGAAAAAAAAAACATTTTTTCTTTGTGAAATTAGGTGGTTTTCCAGAGACCGAAGCCTGGTTGCTTCGTAACAAATGTATTGATGTAAATGAACGCCATGCAAAAGCAATCACCTTAATCAATGCCTATATCGAGTTCCTTGATTGGAATCCAGAGAATGAGTATCCGGAAATAATGTCAATGGATTTGGATCGATTGCAAGAGCTTGCTGGTCGAGCAACTCGGTTGTGTTGTATTGCATCTGTTGTTGCAATTGCTTCATCGGTTCCCATCATCGGTCAACAGACCCAGAATCGCTTAGGTCTCCTCCAGCAAGTACAAATCCTCATGGAAAATGTCCAGAACAACAAGTACGTCGTTTTACTATTTTACATTCAGCTTAAATGTTCAATATTAATTTCATTTGTCTTTCGTTTTCAAACAGTGATATTGCCGATGGCATTGAGAATGTTTGGTTGCAAGTAAAATCGGTGATTTTGTCAAAAATGCAAGAAAAAGATCAAATTTTATCGGCCGAAAGTGAGAATACGTTGAAAGAGCAAATTCTATCGTTATCAAATAAGAAGGCACCAGTCCGTGAATTGATGTGGCGACGCCTTATTGCATACGTACGATTAGTGAAAACAAATAAAAATGTACCACCAGTACCACCGGGCTACACCGATCTCAGTGACGATCTACAGACATTGGCGCTCAAATTTAAGCGATTAACGGTACGAAAGGATTAATTTTGAAAATTTTATTTAAAATTTATTTAATTGGCAAAATTAATGTAATAAATTTAGATTTTTATTTATTTTTAATTATAAAAATTTTAATTTTCGCAGGCTTACAATTACTCAGTTTTTGGTGAACATTGCGAAAAATTATTGGATGATTTAATAAAATCGAGCACCACCGCCACCACCGCAGCAGCTGAATCACAGGCCGAAGCAACTACTACATCGACAAATGAACCGGCTGAAAAATCGGACGCGAGCACTTGAACTGCGGATGATTTTCTGTGCGACAGTTGTAAATGTGTCAACGGCAATCTCACCACCCACTGACCTGTTTTCCTTTTTGGGTCGACACAGATTTGTTCAAGTATAACATCATTTCCTTTTTTTTCGAGGACGTAGACGTAGACGATTTGTTTGGGCTGATCTGAGAGTATTTTGAAATATCTTCCATTTTGGATTCTATTTTAATTGTATTTTCTTAGGAAGTGTTTTTGAAACATTTTTAATTGTTTATCATTAGTTTTTTCCGGCTCTTTTTTGATGTGAATTTTTTTCACCAATATGAAGTGAATTTATTTTGTCAATATTTGTATATCATTTGGATTCCAAAATTATAATCATTCTCCAAAAACCTAATCGCATAAAATGTATTTTCTAATAAATTAATTATCGAAAGAATTTGAATAGCAATTACATTTACGAACTAATTAAGCCGTAGACGGAATGAAGCGTGAATTTTAGTTCATGGAATTGAACATGTGTTAGATGTGAATTAAGTGATATTGTAGACGAGAGCGTGAACAATTGATGTTTATTAGATGAACAAATATGAAATATACATATATCGATTATTTTAACAATATATAAAATTGATGGCTTTTTTTTATTTCGTCATGAAAATAAAATAAAATTTTAATTTGGTTTTTTGCTTGAATTGGAATCGGCATCCAATCTCTTTCTCTTTATCGGGCCGCTCAACTTGATCGAATCCTTAAAAGAATATGAATTTAGTATGTTGCAATTGTTGACCATTCAAATATTTCATATTTACATTTTCCTGCGACATTGGTCGGCCAAGACAAGCAATGTCTTCATCTTCTGAATCAGATGTGTCCACATCATCAGTTTGTAATTGAGCCCAATACATATCCATATCGGATGAGTTTTCATCGAACGTAATCGATTCCAATGACTGTTTTGGTGCTGGTTTTGGCAGCTGTGTATAAAAAGAGGGATAATCGTTTTAAAAAGGACGTGATTATTAAGCATCATACTTTTTTTAAATTGAACATACATTTTGTCCGGCATCTGTGTAGAATTGAGCCAGATTTTCAATTTCCCAGCGTTGAAATTGAGTGTGCATATTTTCTCGTACCCAACCAGATATGTTTTCTTGAGTTCTGGTTTGATGAAATCGTTTTTCACAAAATAAAATTGCACCATAATCGCTTTTATGGCGAATTATACGACCGATAGCTTGATTCACAGCTCGAACTGCATCCAATGAGTACCAAACATTACCGGACATCGTATCTCTTTCATTTCGTTTTCCATCCAAATATTCTTTTTTCAATTTGACTCGTGGGTCATGTATAGGTGCATAAGGCAATCCGGTAATGATCGCACCTCGTCCTTGATTGTCAGCAAAATCCAAACCTTCACTAACTTTTCCTCTCATCACAGCCATAAAAATTGCACCTAAAAATAGGCAAGCGCATTTACATCAGTGATGGTTTTTTCCTATCTGAATAGCGCTAGCTATTCGCAGCGCCTGTACAGCATTGCTGCCCAGATGCTGAATCGTAGCGGTTGCCGCACGTGCAACACACTTCGTTTGTACCACAAAGAGCATATACGTTCGCATTCGTTCTCTGTTCGACATGCGTTTGTATACTGACTATAGTATTAGTGTATCATACTCTGTGAGCTCACTGGTTACTTAGACTATATGACAATATGTTGTGTGGTACAAAACGCGTGCGGCAACCGCTTCGATTCAGCATCTGGGCAGCAATGCTGTTCAGACGCTGCGAATAGCTAGCGCTATTCAGATAGGAAAAAACCATCACTGATTTACATTGACCACTAACTTTCTTTTGATGTTACCTTTGCTGGTGGGATCGTTGTTCGTTCTATAGTAATCATTCATTGTTATTTGTAACTCTTGTTTGGTTTGTGGTTCCACAAAAATTCGCTTCACCTTCTCAATATTGTCCCAAATACGAGTACTTTTCCAAACTATGATATGTTGTTTCATGAGAGAGTATGATGTAAAGAAGACCAACAGACCGCCTGGTACGGTTTTTGCAAACTTCAATATCGTATTTCCAAGTGATTTATTGTAGTTCGGATTTTTTCTGCGGAATAAAATAAAAAATTAACTCTTTCCCGCGTGCAAAATTACTGACTGACCGCTCGGATAAATGGGTGTTTCAGTTAGAAATAACAAAACAAAATTGAAAATTTACCGATTTTTATATGTGGAATCGAGTTCAACTTCGTCTGGACCCTTTGCTACGACTTTGACAAATACTTGATTCGCTTCAATAATGTGTGAATTCGTGAGCTGAATTGGTATATCGATTTCAAGTTCTTGTATTAAAGCTGGCAGAGGGGCCAAAGTTCCGCTTGTCAAAATGAAACATCGAATGCCCTTATTGAGTAAGTATTGCATTCCAAATTTTGGACTGAAGCACCAAAAATTTACAATTTTTGCATTTTCATTGGGCACCACTGTCGTTTTCGATGTGCTGGCTTGAGTTTTCGGCAGTTCCGGCTCAATATAAACTTTGTAACACCGATTCACTTGACCTTTGAGATATGGAACGTTACTTGAGAAAACGACTTGCAAAAAATCTTTGATTGCACGTATTCCTGTCACATATTTTCGATTCTTTTTCGTTAAATCTATTAAAAACTCGATTATGTGTTGGAGTTATTCGATTGTACAGTTTACATTTTCGTCATCAATCTGAATTTTACAAAGAGAAAATCAAATGAATTCAAGCGCTTTAGATATAAGAATTGTTGGTTTGTTGAACAAAAATCTTGTCCACTATACTTACATCAACCGTTTTAAGAATTGAATGAATGAAGTCACCAGGATGAGTGGTCGATCCAGTGGGATTGATCGGCGTTCGAGTTAATGTTAAATCATCGAAATACTCTTTCAAGGCTTTAATAGTTGTATGTAAACGACGCACAATTTCTATAGGAATGTCTCTTGATCCTGACTCATTCAACTTATTGATGGCCTGAGAAACAGATTAATTCAATTGATTACACTTTTAAAATGTGTGATTTATCCAAAAAAATTACATGATCGATATTTCCGATGGCCGTGTCAATTTGTGTGCTTGTAATAAACGTTGAGGCACTTTGTTCGCACACTTTTTCGACATTATGTGCTTCGTCAAAAATGACGACTGCATTTTTCAAATCGATTTGATTTGCATTGCGTATTTTTGGATCCAGTAAGTAGTTATATGGCATAAAAATGATCTCCGGTTTTTTGTTCATTTCTTTAGATAGATAGTATGGACAACACTTATACTTATTTCCGATGTTTCCCAGTTCCTCAATGTCCAGAATTTGATTTTCATGTGATTTTAGTATGGGATAAATCAATGGCGAATCCAGACGTTCTTTATACTCGCACTTTTTCTTTTGTACCAAACTGCGACACATGGTCATCTTATCTGCATTTGTTTTTCCCGTTAACTTCGGATGAATACACAATTGTTCACGACTCGCAATGAGGCCTGCTTTCACATATTTATATTCGGATCGCTTCAGTTCGTCCATAGCTATTGTTTGAAATGATGAAATTATATGATGAAATTGTTGTGAGGTCATTGCCACTTTGAATACAACGCAATACCTTGTTTAAGTTGCGAATGAGTCCGAGATGCATAAATAATGAGTGGTATTTGATTGAGATCACAACATGCACCATTTTCATCCTCAAACATAGCACTGAGACTAGCACCATCGGCTTCATCAATTTCATCACAACGCTGTTGCATTTGTTTTTCATTTTCGACCCAGCCAAGTGTTGCGCATAAAAGGCTCAGTGTTTTTCCAGTGCCTGGGAATTATTTATGTTCTCAACATATTGTCAATAGCAGTTGATTTTTTATGGATACAAACCTGTGGGTGATTCCAATACAGCATTTTTACTGGTCTTGAGACTTTCAATCACTTTTGACATGTAATTTATTTGTGGGACGTAGGGTTCCGGGAAAGGAAATTTCACTGGTATTCCATTGATATTAATATCAGGCATTTTGAATGCATTTATTCATGTATTTTATGCAAAGATTTGCGTCGGAATTAAAAAACTACGGCTTAATTAAAATTAAAATGCTTAGTACACGGATTGCATTTTTGTTTGACAGCTAAAAAAAAAAAACAAATGAAACTCGATTGGATACGTACGACGAACTGAGTGTGTCGTATTTTACATTTATTATTAAATCGTGTGATCGTTGCGTATACCGATGCGGCAACGCGTTCACATCAATGCGGCACAAAGAAAATATATTGTATTTTGAACTTATTAGAGATCTATTCAGTTTTTTTTACCCTTCATTAGAAGAATAAATGTTTTTGTTTGTCTTTTGATTGGATTGATGTTGGAACCTTTGACGATGAACTAGAAAATACCACATTTAGAATTTTGTGTGCTGTCATTTTCCGGATTTTCTGTCGTATCTGCTATGAAATTTGATGTTTGTAAAACGGATTGGCTCGATGAGGGTGAAACAAGATTGTTCGGCACCGTATCGAACTTTGTCTTCTTCGGCAGGTCACAGTTAGAGGAAGTGCTTGGCGATGATTTCATTGGACTGCTTGCATCAACATTTTCAACTCCGTTGCGTTTAAGTGCGTGAATTGTGACTTGAGGACAGTTGTCAGCAGAAATATTGTTAAAATTGATGCTCTGAAATATGAAATCGTTTTTTTTGTTTCATCATTTGAAAAAATCATTTCACTTAAATTCATTTATTTTTCCTTACCTTTTCTGATTCTGACTGTGGATTTTCGATTGGTTCATTCGATTCTACTTTCACTTTCGGTTTTGGCAACTATAACAGAAAACAATGAATAAATTCTCAGGGTTTTCAACATTTTAATTTAGAGCTTACCGTATTTTCAGCATCATCGAAAAATGTTGCTAAATTTGTGGTGGTTGATCCGAATGTTGTATTAAATTTTTGATTTCTCAAACCTTTTTGCAACCATGACGAAATATTTTGCTTCACATTTCTGTGATCGAAGCGATCGTCACATAACAGAATAGCTCCATAATCGTTTTTATTACGAATTACACGGCCAATTGCTTGATTAACAGCTCGGTAAGCCTCTGAGTAGTACCTAAGTGGAGAATCACAAGAGAAAAGAATAAAATTTAAAATAATCGATAAGTAATCGGAAAACAATCAATAATAATTAATAAGGTAGTACCATTCTTCCCCACTTGGTAAATTTTTGATGATATATCGACTTTTGTTAAGATATTCTTTTTTCCATTTGACTTTGAGATCCTTAATCGAAGCCAGTGGAATGCCAGTGATACATACGCCACGTGCATACTTGTCTTTGAAGTCCAAACCCTCGCTGATTTTGCCTCTCATAACGGCCATTAGAATTGCACCTTTACTATTTTGTTCGATTTGTCCTCGATAACCATTCATGGCATCTTCGAATTCCCACTTTTGTTTTGATTCAATGAAAATGGATTTTTGTTCTTCGATCATCGTCCAAATTTCATCCTCTTTCCATACCTCTATGCACTTGTTCATCATTTCATATGCTGAAAAAAACACCAGTAAACCATCGGGAATCACTTTTGAAAATTCTATAATTGATTTGCCGAGTGAACGAACGTATCGTATATTTTCTCTAAAAATTACAAAACAAAAGTATATTTGTACTATATTGAAAACGACAAATTAGTCATATTTTTATTACCTATTTTCGTATCGTGAATCAAGTTTTTCATTGTCTGGTCCGTATTTGACAACTTCGACAAATACTTGTGATTCTTTGATTATGTGGTTGAATGAGTGCCGTATTGGGGCCAAAATTCCCAACTCACTAACAAAAGTATGCAAAGGAGCCAGAGTTCCGCTCGTCAAAATTAGGCATCGTAGTTTTTCATCGCATAAATTTTTCATTCTGAAATTGGTGAATTCAATTTAAAGATGAGTTATTTTAACTGAGCCGATGCCAATAACACCTCTGATTATATAATTATTGGATTGATTATATTGATTTACCCAAAAGCAGGACTGAGACACACACATTTTATGGTCTTTTTATTTTTATTTTTATCGATTTGGAGACTATTTGGCGTCTTGGACAACCCTTTTGTAGACGAATTAGGTGCTTCTTTGGTTGGTGTTGTAGACTCTTGCTGTTCATTTTGTTCCGTTGCAGCCACTTGCTGTCCACTTCTTTCATCTACTATTTCAACTTTATAACATAGATTGATACGTTCTCGGAAATTTTCAGAGGATGAAGATATGAATATCAATTGGATAAACTGACACATCTTCCGCAATCCGTCCGCCTTTCGATTAGATCCAGTTTTTGTTTGTTGTCCCATCACAAATAATATTAGTTCTTCCAAATCTTTACAGACACTTTCCTGATTTTGTTCATCTATCTAAAATGTATTGGGTGAATTTAGATTTGTAAAAAAAATATTGTTTGAAATGTTGCGTATTTACCTCGGCAATGCTCAGTAATTCGAATATGTATTTCCCATCCCTTGTGCCGGGTGGAAGGTTTCTTATTGTATCAAACAGATTTTTAAACTTAGCCTTCAAAACGTTCACTGAGTTCATGCTGGGGTAAAAAGAACGTTCACGCTTCGGTTCACTCTCTTCTTCATATAAGCTTTGAAGTTGCGAAGTTACATAATTAAAATCGTTCATGGCCTTATACATGTCCAAATTTGATAAAGATGTTGAGAATGCTTCTTCGCATGCGCTCAAGATATTACTTGCCTCATCCACGATTACAATGGCATTTTTCAAATCGAAGTTAGATAAACTTTTCCGTATCATGGGATTAATTAAATAGTCGTACGGCATGAAGATCAAATCTGCCCTCTCAGCCCTCATTTTTGTTATAAAATATGGACAGCATTTTAATTCTTGTCCCAACGCAGTGAGTTCTTCAATGTCCAATATTGGGTTGTCACGAATTTTCGAATTCTGTATTCCCTCGCCGATGCCCTCATAATATTGGCATTTATGTGCATCCACTAAGAACTTGCATTTGTCCGTAATTTCATCGTATGTTAAATACGAATCTTTTAATTCTTCATGTATGCAAAATTTATTTCTAGATCCAATCACCGCTGCACGCACGTCATTGTATGGTGATTCTTTTAGTGCCTTCATGGCTATCGTAAATAATGATATTTTTAATTGACAAGAATCGATCGATATAAATAATTTCAATGTCAAAATCTGTCTTACCTTGTTTTATCTGTGAATGCGTCCGTGATGCGAAAATAATGAGTGGAATTTTTCTGTCAGTCGACAAAATCTTGTCAGACATTCCATCATTTACATGGCGACTTTTTTGTTTCTCAATCCATGCGAGAGGTGAACATAAAAGGCTGTGCGTCTTCCCAGTACCTGAAGGTCACAAATATTTTTCAACTATTCAAACACTATTTTTTATATTTTATTTACCTGTGGGCGACTCCAAAACTGCATTTTTTCCATCTTCAATTGCTTCAATCACTTTTTCCATATACTGCCGTTGTACATCGTATGGCACAAATGGAAACTTTACAATGACACCGTTTATTTCAAATTCATGCATTTTTACTTTTTGTGCAAATCGAGTTAAAAAAATCCAATGAGAATTTTAGGGACATGCAATGAAATGAATGTTTCAAACAATTTCACAATATGATGTCACAATTCTCGGAACAAGCACAATGTGAATCTACAAGCATAAACAAGAAACTACGAGTTTTTTCTTTCTTAATTTTCGATACTTGATTTGGTCAAGTGTAATATGACACACTTTAGTTTGGCTTTGTGTGTGTGTGGCATTCACCAGCTGGGTATGTGTATGTATGGACTTAATATGCAATGTCTTACTCAATAGAAGTACTGTCGATCGCTGTCCGAATTGATTTTTCTCTGATTGTGTTGGTGTTTCGTTTTTAAATTTTAATTTTAACTGAAAATTTGAATACATTGACAATAAAGTTACAAAAGTAGTAGGAAAATGGGGATTCGTCAGCAACTCTTGCGTCAACAAGCATGGTTGACGCAAGGCTGACGCAAGGGTCCTTGCCTCATCCATGCGGTAGCACTGCGAGCGCGTGCGTCAGCCCGAGAGCGAAGCCCATACGCCATACATAAAAGGTGGTATTGCCTTTTCAAGTCTGTGAAGACCAAAACAAATAAGCTTTTTTCTGCTTAGTTGTGCCATTTGGAAAAATGAAAATTTCAAAAAAATTCGGACTTTTCGTGACGGCTCGCTTTGGCGATCCGTTTTGTTAAGCAAATATTGTCCGATTTGGCTGAAATTTGAATGGAATAAAGTCAATATATTGATATTCAATATTGCATAAATAAAATTCATATTTTCGTATATTATCACATTGAAATTCATGTATAAAGACAAAATTGATTAATTTTTCACACATGCATACACAACAAAGAAATCAAAAATGCTGAAAAAATGAGAACATCTTTCATTGATAAAAAAAATATATGTTATAATATATTGTCATATCGTATATTATAGTTTTTGCATTTTCGACACGAACGCTCTGAAGTTGCCTTCTCGCAATTTCACTACACTTTTTGTCAGCATTGCTGATTTTGTTATTTCAAACAAATTAAGAAAAGTCGTTTTCTTTATATTTATGTGCTGAATTGATGTGCATCTTTTGGTATTTGTACTGATCTCATACTCGAATGTTGAGCAAAATTGTAATTTAATTGAGCAAAAAGTCAATGTACCGCTTAGCTATGCTTTTCCTTCTTTCCTCTATTTCAGCTGAAAATATGACAGTCCAAAATCGCCGCCATTTTTTCTAAAACGTCAACACATTTATTAATGT